CTATCACTCTGGGATGATACTCAGGAGCACTGTTCTACAGTTGTTCTGGTTCTTCTTACAAAGGTGAACTCACAAAGATATTCTGGCAGATCCCCAGTCAATACAATGGTCACTGACTTGTGGGGTGCCTCAGGATTCAGCCTCCCCCCCCCATGCTATTCCATATCTACATGAAACTACTGAGAAACTATCCATACTTTAGTGGTAGGATATCACCAGTATACTGGTGACATCAAACTCTCTTTCTATTTATTTCCAAGGAAGGTGTCTTGGCTAAATAAGTAACCTGTGTCTGTAATTGACGGGAAGAAGCAAAACTTAATCCAAACAAGGCAATTGCTAACTGAATGGCCCATTAAGCAAGAAGGACAACAACCAGTTTTGGATACTTCATGGTCTCCCTGAAACCCCAGGCTTGTATTTTTGTCATACTCTTGGATACAGCCTTGAGCTCCAATAGTAGGAGTGGTCCAATAGTAGGAGAAGGTCCAATAGTAGGAGTGTTTTTGAACAGATAAACCTAGAGCACCAGGTGTGTTCATTCCTGTCAAATCTGGCTAATTTCTCTGATTATACTAGTTTGTGTTTGGAAACTTCATAAACTGCCATAGGACGAAAGTCCTGCCACCAAACTGCTTACCAAGAATGGTGAAAAGGCGCATATAACTCCCTTGTTGAAACAGCTTCACTGGCTACACAAACCAAAGTCTTGGTTATCACCTATAAAGCACTCTACAGCATTGGTCCAGACTATCTGAAAGATTGTGTTTACCAATATGAGTCCGTTTGAATTTTGAGCTCCTGGGAGGGGGGGGGGGGGGGGGGGGGAGATCCTCAGCTCCACCACCACCACCACCATCACAGGTATGTTTAGTGAAGGCATGGGAGACAACTTTCTCAGGGTGCATCTACACTGTAGAATTAATGCAGTTTGGCACCACTTTAACTGCTACGACTCAAGGCTATGGAATCATAGGAGTTGTAGTTTGGTGAGACACCAACACTCTTTGGAAGAGAAGACTAAAAGCCTTACAAAAACTACAACTCTCATGATTCTGTAGCAATGAGCCATGACAGTTAAAGCTGTGTCAAACTGCATTAATGCACCCTCAATGGCTATAAAATTCTCTTCCAAGGAAATTAAAGAGGTTGGCCTCATCTCTGCTCTCTTTTCATCAGCAGACAAAGACCTTTGCTGTTTGTCCATGCCTTTTAGTGTTAATCACCTATTGTAGGAGGTCTGTTAATTGGGATGCATTTCTAACATTATTACTATATTTCAATGGCCCCTAAAGACTGTTTCAAATTACTATTTTTGTATCATTGTGGGGTTTTTTAATTTTTAAACTCATGTATTATCCATTATTTTAACTGTATTTTGTGTTAACTTGTATTGTCGTCCACCTAGGATCCCATACTGGGAAAAAGGTGACATATACATAAGATTAGGACAATAATAATAATAATAATAAAATATTATGCCTCTTTGGGGTCACAAGAGGCCATTTCAGTTGCAAACTCAGCATGCATACAGCTTTAGTCACTCTAGCCACACGGTTAAAGCTTCCATGCACAAAGAGGCTTGTTTTCTTGGTGAGATGTAGATGAGTCAGACGCCACTGCTGGTCCAAATTGTTCTGGGTGTGGCTCAGCAATTCCTCAAAGGCTGAGCAAAGTATTAAGGTTTTAGGGCAGTTGCTGAACTAAGCTGGTATTTTTAATATTGACACAGAGGAGGCATGTGTGTTATGTGTCTTCCTGGACAATGCTAATTTGGTTGCAAGTTGGGGACCCTTTTAACATTAGCATCTTCAAAAATAAGAATACACAACCTTTTTGAGCTCCAAGGAAAGCATCACTGCCACCTGGGGGCTGCATGAAAATGTAGATATGTGTGTGTGCGTGCGCTATGGAAAAATAGAGAAGGATGTGCACACATTCCTACTCCAAAAAGGAAAATTTAACCCTTACTACCTTGCATATGAATGCTTATAAACATAAATTCTTGACAATTTCAAAGAAACGTCATATTCCCCATGATACATTTAACAATTTTAGGTGATTAAATCTAAGAACAGTTGCAGAGCTAAAATACTTTTTCCCTCCCAGAAGGCAGATTATTTTGTCATCCATGGTATGTTATAAGAGCTCTGTTTCACAATGGTTCTCAACCTGTGGGTCCCCAGATGCTTTGGCCTTCAACTACCAGAAATCTTAACAGCTGGTAAATTGCCTGGGATTTCAGAGAGTTGTAGGCCAAAATACCTGGGGACCCACAGGTTTAGAACCACTGGTTTATAGTTTATAGTTAGTTTGTTATGCCAATAGTTAAGAATAGGCACTTCCATGAAAACTTAAAGATCCAGGCTACAAACTGAATTGTTTGTTGCTTCAATATCCATGTTCTTAAATGCTTTCTCCAAACTTACAGTGTGCTTTCCCATCCCCAGAATCACCACTTGGCTATTTGTATAGAGACAATTAAACATCATCACATAATGCCCCTTGACAATAAGTACCTGAACTCCTTTTCTACTCAAAGATGTTTTACTATCTAATATGACCTGTATATAATGAACCAAGTAGATTAGAATTAGAAATGCAAACTCTCCCCTTGCTGAAATCATAAATGATATCATTTTAAATACTGTATTTTCTAGCATATAAGACTACTTTTTAACCCAGGAAAATCTTCTCAAAAGTCGGGGGTCTTCTTATATGCCAGGGCTTTTTGCATTCTCTGCCACTGGGGGCCTCAGCTTTCTAAACTACATTTAATATGGCTGAGTCTCCCGCCCATTAAATGTAGTCCCACCTTCCTTACAGTGACGAGGAGGTAAAACTCCAAACTAAAAGAATTGGTTTTTAAGTACTTTACATTCTCTTGGCTTTACCAACATTGCTTAATGGTTATACTGCAAATTAAACTGACCTTGGGAGACATCCAAATGTTACAGAACATTTACGAAAAATGGGTGAGTGTTTCAATTTCTAAATCCCCCCGCCACACACCTTTCCTTGATGTCTCTGAAATCACACTGCATGCCCAAATTTAACAAATTTAATCTGATATACGATTGTTGTTTATTCGTTCAGTTGCTTCTAAGTCTTTGTGACCTCATGGACCAGCCCACGCCAGAGCTCCCTGTCGGCCGTCACCACCCCCAGCTCCTTCAAGGTCAAGCCAGTCACTTCAAGGATGCCATCCATCCATCTTGCCCTTGGTTGGCCCCTCTTCCTTTTTCCTTCCATTTCCCCCAGCATCATAGTCTTCTCTAAGCTTTCCTGTTTTCTCATGATGTGGCCAAAGTACTTCATCTTTGCCTCTAATATCCTTCCCTCCAATGAGCAGTCAGGCTTTATTTCCTGAAGTATGGACTGGTTGGATCTTCTTGCGGTCCAAGGCACTCTCAGAATTTTCCTCCAGCACCACAGTTCAAAAGTGTCTCTCTTCCTTCGCTCAGCCTTCCTTTTGGTCCAGCTCTCACATCCATAGTTTACTACGGGGAATACCATTGCTTTGACTATGTGGATCTTCGTTGCCAGTGTGATGTCTCTACTCTTCACATATACGATTGTGATCCGAAATTATGCACCAGCCTATTTAAAGCATTCTTTCCAGACTGTCAATCCCTTGTTTGCCTTAGGAACCTAAGATGCATTATGTATCATTTTGATTTGGCATAAAATTTATTGTGTTTTGGATAATATAAAAACAGATCTGAAATTTTCCTTTTCTTTTGTTTTGTTAAAAATACACTAAAATAATTTGGAACAGTAAGAAATCTTTGGCTTTGATAGTTTATTAGGAGCAGGGAAGGAATAAAAGCCCGGAGAATCAACATTAATAAACCAAAGAAATTTACTTGTCTCTAGTCCTCATCCCTATAAAATGATCTGGCACATTTTACACAAAAGTCTTCCTGTTATATAGTATTTAAAATAATTGTTAGAATAAACATACAAACACCTTATCTTAGAAAATATCCTACAATTGATTTGCTTTTATTCTCCCTCCAAAGAATTTTAAAATCCAGAATAACAACAGACGTCTAGCAGCACCAATCTGTTTACTCCCCATCTGAAACTAAGATTTTGCTTCCTATTGTATGAAACCTTGCTTATTTTTCACTTAATATGAACAGCATTGTGTGTGTGTGTGTATGTATGTATGTATATATATATATATATATATATAGATACACACACACACACACACACACACATATATACACACACACACACACACACACACACACATGTATTTGTGCACACACATATATATCTTCAAAACAACTGGGATTAATCTAGCAGTGCTGGGCTTCATTTTAAGAATAGACAGGATTGTCTTAATTCTTTCAATGAAGAGTAACTGAATTGTGTTAAGAGCAGTTAGTTATTGTGTTGCCTTTTGTTTCTTTGCCATAATGAGAATTTCAAGACCAGTCCACTGATTGTGCAGCCCAGCTCTCTCCACTCAATTATTTGCTGTCTATTGAAAAGAGACAACATTCTGCTTTATTTCTCCACTGCTTCCACTATTCATGCATATTGTTGATTGTTATAATGCATCTGACTTAATATAGTGAATAAAACAAACAATGGTTACATAATGTAGAATGGATAGGATAATCATGATTAAGGCTATATGTGAACCAGTGATCTAGGATCCATAATAAGATATATAGTAGCTGTAAAATGAGTGCTCTGTCCAGTCGGAATTGCTATCAAAGAAAAATAGATGTCAAGGTTCTAAGCAAACACACAATTGTGAGAAATATAAATGATTTACATTAGAGAGAAAAACTGAAATAAATAAAACAGAAATTGAGAGGAAAGCAGATCCAAATTAGGGATTAAAAAAATCAACCAATCAGACTAACAAATCTAGGTTTTACTTATGCCAAAAGAGAAATGAGGAAAGTGTTATTTGAGAGCAGGCTGCCCTTCAGCAATTTCTAAGTCCATCTGAAATATGTAGAATGCTACACCTGAATTACCTGATTCTGTAGTTCCTCCAGTTTCCGTCTTCTTGCATGAAGTGCTTTACTTGGGAAAGCCCAAAAATAATTGGAAGTCCCAATCCTATCAGTGTCCACCATCCCATCATCAACTAAGCTCTGTAAGACTTCCTTCACTGACATAGAAGCTGTCAAAGAAATAAATACTGTAAAATTAATATATATTCATTGGAAAGTAGACAGCTATTGTTTTAAACATATGACAACATAAAAATGATAGGATTTCTTCATTTCTAAGGTATTGTCAATTAATTCTTGTAAATTCATCACACAAGCAAAGATGCTAAATCTTATAGGGCATATGACGTTTTCCTGTGTCTTCTTGGTATAGTAAATTCATTTTTAGGCACAGTACCAGCAGTCTAGTTCTATAAAATACAACAGAATACCGTATATACTAGAGTATAAGCTGATATGAATACAAGCCAAGACACATAATTTTACCACAAAAAACTGGGAAAATGGATTGACTCGAGTATAAGCCAAGGGTGGGAAATGCAGCAGCTACTGGTAAATTTCAAAATAAAAATAGATACCAATAAAATTACATTAATTGAGGCATCAGTAGGTTAAATGTTTTTGAATATTTACATAAAACTATAATTTAAGATAAGACAGTCCAAATCTAACCTTCAATGTAAGTGTGCATATGCATTCCAACAATAGAGTAAAATAATAAATGTAATAAAAATAATAATAGAGTAAAATAATGGAAAAGTAATAACAGTGATAATAGAGTAAAATAATAAATGTAATAATAATAAGAGTAAAATAATAAATGTAATAATAATAATAATAATAATAATAATAAAAAATAGAGTAAAATAATACATGTAATAATAATAGTAACAGAGTAAAATAATAAATAACTTTGACTTGAGTATAAGCCGAGGGGGGGCTTTTTCAGCATAAAAAAGGGCTGAAAACTCATCTTATACTCGAGTAGATACGGTAAGTAACAAAACGCTGTTTTTGCAAAGCTTCGGACAAAATACTGACACTCTGACCAGCCTCCACAACTTTTATTCTAAACTATTCGGTTGTACTCAAAAATGAATTTATTTTGATGTCTATCAGTTATAGAGTTTAGATGCAAGCTAAAATATGTAAGCAATATACATAACAAGTCTTGTTCACTGGAAAATGCAGCCTTCTATATCTAGATTATTTTTCAAATGCTATAGAGAAACTACAGAGTAAAGAAACTGCAAAACAATTATTCTGGAATGTTGCGAAGGGATATGGGGACAGAGACAATCTTTAAAATAGATATATTCCAGTAATATGTGCAACATAATCTGTATTCCTAAAACAGATTGCAGAATTTATCCTGGAGGCTATTATCTAAGGAAGTAATATGTCTTTTCATACATGCACCACAAATTACTTAGTTCGATTAAGAGGAAAACAATTTGCATGCTGGAAAATTTGATCATGTGATAAAGCTGTCGGGGATAAAGATGGTGGACAATAAATCTGTGTACTCACTGATTCCTTTCTCTTTAGGAGCAATTTTTTCCATGTCTTTCAACTGGAATACATCCTTCTGTTGATGGTGGAGAGAGGGAAATAAGCACATTATTACTATAATAATTTCACACAAGAAAAGCAGGGAGTTTAACACACTGTGGAATTTCTTCTTCTTTGAAGAGGGCCTATAGTTTAGGCTTAACAACAACACAGTTCAACCAAACAATTTTTTTGGTATCTTGGTTTTTAGGCCTGTTCCTGGGGTTATTTGGGGTGCTGATTTGGTAAATTGCACAGGATAGACACATCAGCTTTAGTTTTTTTAGATACTGTTATCCTGGTTTTCTATGGGTGAGCAGATGGTTACTGGTAGATGGAATATGTTCTGTATCTCAAAACTAGAGCTGATGAAAACTGGTGCCATTGTTGGAATCAGCAGGTCAAACATACCCCAAAACAGGTCTAACAGGGCATCAAAATGTGGATGAGCCATTGTTATCACTCAACAGCTTTTGAAATTTACCTAAAACACTTCACTAAACTATAAATCACTGAAGGAGGTATTTCCACCTGCTCTTTCCTAGCAGCATGCAGAATTTTCCAGGAATCCTAAAATTAGTTATATGAGAAAGTCATCAACTCTGTTTGTGTCACCTTGCAAATAAATTTGTAAGTACTGCTGAAATGGGAGATCTTGATCAGCCTCCATCTATCAATGATGTTTAAAAGCAGAAAATCCCTGCAGTTGGGGTTTTTTTCTCCTGTCTGAGGACTGTGTGTTTTATCGTTTTATTGCCTACCCTGTAAAACTCCTACTATTGCCCATCAGTTCTAGGTAGCACAATCGATGGTGAGATATGATGCATAATGGGCAACTTGAAGGGCCAAGGGGCCACATCGGATTCCTGTAGAGCAGGCATGGGCAAACTTTGGCTCTTCAGGTGTTTTGGACTTCGACTCCCAAATTCCTAACAACGTACTAGCTGTTAGTAATTGTGGGAGATGAAGTCAAAAACACCTGGAAGGCCGAAGTTTGCCCATGCCTGTTGAACTTGTCAATATTCCTCCTGAATTGCTGTCTACCTTACCAGCAAATGTCAACTTTACCATAGTAGCTATATTCAGTATATCCATCATTTTTGCTATATTATTATTATTATTTCTATTTGCCTGCATTAATGGGTGAAGGGGGAAAATAAGGAAAATAATAAAATAAAGAGGACTTGGAGCTTGTTCACCATGTTTACTGAAACTATATACATTTTATAGTAGTTACTCCTTCTCTCTCCCTCCCTCTCTCCCTGGATAGATGGCAAGCTACTTACCCTCAGCAGACTGAAAGCCAAAACCAAGGTTACAACAACATATTATAGAACTCCAATATGCTGATGACAACATCATCTGTGCACATTCAGAAGAAGACCTACAAGCCACTCTAAACACCTTCGCAGAAGCATACCAGAAGCTTGGCCTGTCATTGAACATCAAGAAAACCAAAGGGCTCTTCCAGCACTCACCAGCCAATCCCTATCCAATGCTTAATGGTGTAACTTTAGAAAATGTTGACCATTTCCACTACCTTAGCAGCCACCTCTCCACAAAAGTCGACATTGACACTGAAATACAACATCGCCTGAGCTCTGTGAGTGCAGCATTTGTTTGAATGAAGCACAGAGTGTTTGAGGACCGGGGCATCTGTAGGGACACCAACGTGCTTGTTTATTGTCCTCCCAACCTTGCTATATGCCTGCGAAACGTGGACTATCAACGTTGCCTCCAAAAAATCCTGCAAATCTCTTGGGGAGACAGGCGGACAAATGTCAGTGTGCTGGAAGAAGCAAAGACCACCATCACTGAAGCAATGGTCCTCCGCCATCAACTCCGCTGGACCGGCCACGTTGTCCGAATGCCCGATCACCGTCTCCCAAAGCAGTTGCTCTACTCCAAACTCAAGAATGGGAAACGGAATGTTGGAGGATAGGAAAGGAGATTTAAAGATGGACTCAAAGCCAACCTTAAAAACTGTGGCATAGACACTGAGAACTGGTAAGCCCTGGCCTTTGAGCTGGACCAGCAGTGCTGCAGAATTTGAAGAGGCATGAATGGAGGGCGAAAGAGAGATACATGCCAAGAGGAAGGCGTGTCAAGCCAACCCTGACCAGGACTGCCTTCCACCTGGAAACCGATGCCCTCACTGCGGGAGAACTTGGAGGACAATCTTACTCAGACAACAAGGGATCGTCTAAGTAAGTATATGTACTGTGAGCAGTGGTAATGTTGAACTATATCATAAAAAACCATTTGAAACCAGACGGTTAAAGAAGACTCCTTAACAGGAATCAGAAAGCTATCTGGTGACATCTATTTTCTTCAGAGTTGTTTGTTGCCTCCATGCCCCACCCATTTATGCATGTTTTCAGTGAAACTATGCACAATATAGGCTGAAATGGCAAATAAGTATGACTTACCGTTTCAAAGAAGATTTCCATCATTCGAGTTCTCTTCTCTTCAGCACTCAGACCCCTTTTCTTTGACTAAACAGGAGAAAAACAAGGAGCAAAACTAAACACTACATTTGAAGCTAACTTTCTAAGGCAAATCTAGGTCAGAACTTGGAAACATGACTGTTTTTTTGGATTACACCTTCCATTCAGTCTCCAAATATACTGGCTCCAAATACTAACAAATTCTAGAAAAGAAGTATGTTTGCAGATCTTTGTGAAGCATCTGACACAATCAATTTTTAATATTTAGTCCTTCAAAACTAAAACATAGAAAGACCTATTGCTGCTACCATCTGAAACATCTGTGAAGTTTTACACAACTTTGTTGACATGCTCTGTATTGCCTATATGGGATGGGAACAGTTGTTGAACTTCTCAGCATGCTCTATCATTTTTTAACATATTCATTTATTTTAATCTTTATTAAATACCTTTATTTTTTAATCATGAATTTTACATTCATGTCTTTTGTTCACTATATTTTAATCTTTGTTCTGTGTATTTTAATATATTCATGAGTAGAAATTTGTTTTGTTATGTGTATTTTATATAATGTTGATGATGATGATGATGTGTTTTTAGTTATGTGGTAACCTGCCTTGAGCCACAGGAGGAGGGGGTTAAGAAATACAATTATTATTATAACACTTCGTGATAAAATTTGAAAAGAAACCTGTTTCTGGTGTGAAAGTGTTATTTCCTGTTTAATTGTGCGGTAAGTTAAAGGTAAAGGTTTCCCCTTGACATTAAGTGTAGTCGTGTCCGACTCTGGGGGTTGGTGCTCATCTCCATTTCTAAACTGAAGACCCGCCATTGTCCGTAGAGACCTCCAAAGTCATGTGGCCAGCATGACTGCATGGAGCGCTGTTGCCTTCCTGCAGGAGCAGTACCTATTGATCTACTCACATTTGCATGTTTTTGAACTGCTAGGTTGGCAGAAGCTGGACCTAACAGTGGGAGCTCACCCTGCTCCCCGGATTCGAACCAGTGACTTTTTGGTCAGCAAGTTCAGCAGCTCAGCGGTTTAACCCAGTGCGCCACCGGGGGGCTCCCTAATTGTGCTTTGAAAGTAGTTGTTATTTTTGTGGCTGCAACAAACTGGGCTGAGACTTGATGTAATATTCATTGAAAAACTATAGCAAAATGTGCTGTACGATTTCCCGGAAGAACAAACGTTTTGCAATGTAATAAACCTTTCTTATGTTTTTATGATAGAACTAATTAGGAAATGACATTTATAACCCAGGAACAAAAATTGTGTTACATAATGTTATTATTGACACATTTGAAATACAATACAAATGTCTCACCAATTTTTCCCAGCCCCAAACCCCAACGTTCCCAGTACTTGCATAGCATTATAAAAACACAGCACTGTCAATTCAATTACTTCTACATTACTCTAATTTTATCAATTATATAAATTGTTGTAAAGTACTCATAAATTACATAACCACAATCTTTCTTGGACTTTTGGTGGTTAAAATTCGCCATGGCCTTTACATATTATCAAACAGATCGTCCTTCCGTTCCCTGTTTGCTAATCTCAATTTGTAGGTTAACTTTTCCAATGGAGTTATCGCCCACATCCTGTTTAACCAATTACTTATTGTCAGATTCTCTAACTTTGTCTAGTTCGTGTCTTTGACTATTCTTTTAAAGGCATGCCGAAAACCATAAACTGGCTTCTAGAGACAAACAGCAGGAAAGCTGACTTTATAAAACAAGGCAGGTACAATATGCTGAGAAATCTGAGGTAGTATAAAAAGACTAAGGATGCACCCACACTGTAAAATTAATGCAGTTTGATACTACTTTAATTACCATGTTATTGAATCATGGGAATTGTGGTTTTAATATCTTTACCACCCTCTGTCAAATAGTAATGCTGCCTCACCAAACTACAAATCCTATGATGCCACAGCAATGAGCCATGGCAATTAAAGTGATGCCAAGTTGCATTAATTGTACAGCATAGATGCATTTTGAGAATTCATGTTCAGAACTTGGAAAGTTCTTGGACTACACCTCCCATCATTTGTCTGTAGGGGGGGGGAGCATCCTGATTTAGCTGAGGAGTCACAATGAGATGTCGAAACAGATGACAAAACAATTCATATCACCCTTTTACACAAACATGCCAGAACATGAGAAAATCATGACAGGACGCAATATATTCTGCATCTACCAGAAACCCAGAGCTCTCTCATACTCACTTGGCAAAGCTGACATTTGTATATCTTTTAACCTATCATGGTTTTGTTTGTGGTTACGAAAATGTGAGGGAAGCCACAGGTGTTAAAGTCTCAAGAACATCAGAGCATTCACAACTATTTTAACTGTGCTGGGAGAGTTGCTATTGAACTTCTCACCGTTGGTTTTCAGCCACTCGCTTATTCAGAAGTGGAAATTTGCAGCAAAATAACTGTATGTGCATCTACACTGAAGAATTAATGCATCTTGACACCACTGTAACTGTCATGGCTCAATGCTATGGAATGATGGGAGTTGTAGTTCTACAAGGTCATTAACTTTCTCTGCCCAGTAGTGCTGATGCCAAAAAATAAATTCCCATCATTCCACAGCACTGAGCCAATGGCACTTAAAGGAGCCCGGTAGTGCAATGGGTTAAACCCTTGTGCCGGCAGGACTGAAGACCGACAAGTCGCAGGTTTGAATTCGGAGAGAGCACGGATGAGCTCCCTCTGTCAGCTCCGACTTCCCATGCGGGGACATGAGAGAAGCCCCCCACAAGGATGGTAAAACATCAAAACATCCGGGCGTCCCCTGGGCAACGTCCTTGCAGACAGCCAATTCTCTCACACCAGAAGCGACCTGCAGTTTCTCCAGTCGCTCCTGACATGAAAAAAAATTAAAGTAGTGTCAAACTGCACTAATTGGATTTAATCAAGGCCTGTCTAGTCCAACTGAGGCAAGTGGGAAGCCCAAAAGTATAACACACCCAACATCTCATATTCTCCATTGATTGAAAAACCAGCAGTGGGTATCATGCAACCTTCTGGATATTGTAATTCCCATCATCTCTAACCCTATACCATTAATAGTCATTAGTGAGGGATGCTGGGAGTTGGAGTCCAACACCATGTTTTACCTTGGTATCTATATTTTAACATATGGATTGTGCATTTACATGTTGAAAGATGCCTTGGGTCCGGTTGCGGAGAAAGGTGGGGTACAAATATCTTAAATAAACAAACAAACAAACAAACACCTGGATGGTAACATGACTCCCACTGTACAATATACAGACATACACAGGTTGAACACCTGGGATTCCAAACTAACACTTTGTAACACGAGTTATAAATGTCATTTCCTAACTGGTTCTATCATAAAAACATGGAAAAAGTTGATTAAACTGCAAAATGTTTGTATGGGACACCCTGCAGTGCATTTTGCTAGTTTTTCAATGAATATCTCGTATAGCTCCTCAACCAATTCAACATAGGGTTGCTGTGAGTTTTCCAGGCTGTATGGCCATGTTCAGAAGCATTCCCTCCTGATGTTTCGCCCACATCTATGGCAGGCATTCTCAGAGATTGAGGGATCTGTTGGAAACTAGGCAAGTGGGGTTGATATATCTGTGGAATGTCCAGGGTGGGAGAAAGAACGCTTGACTGTTTGAGACAAGTGTGAATGTTGCAATTGGCCAGCTTGATTAGCATTGAATAGCCTTGCACCTTTAAAGCCTTGCTAGTTCCTACCTGGGGGAATCCTTTGTTGAGAGGTGTTAGCTGGCCCTGATTGACTCTTGTCTGGAATTCCCCTGTTTTCAGAGTGTTGTTCTTTATTTACTGCCCTTATCTTAAGAGGGTTTTTTTTTTGTACTGGTTGTCAGATTTTGTTTATTTTCATGGTTTCCTCCTTTCTGTTGAAAGTGTTCACATGCTTGTGGATTTCAATGGCTTCTCTGTGTAGTATGACATGGTGATTGTGAGTGGTCCAGCATGGATGGCTTTGAAGCTGCAAGACCATTCAATGCTAATCAAGCTTGTCAATTGCAACATTTGCACTTGCCTCAAACATCCATGGCAGGCATCTTCAGAGGTTGTGAGTTCTGTTGGAAACTTGGCAACTGAGGTTTATATATCTGTGGAATGTCCACATTCCATGCTAATTAAGGTGGCCAATTGCAACATTCACACTTGCCTCACGCAGACAAGAGCTCTTTCTCCCACCCTGGACATTCCACAGATATATAAACCCCACTTGCCTAGTAGTTTCCAACAGACCCCTCAATCTCTGAGGATGCCTGCCATAGATGTGGGCGAAATGGAGAGAATGCTTCTGGGACATGGTCATGCAGCCTGGAAAACTCACAGCAACCCAGTGATTTCGGCCATGAAAGCCTTTGAGATTTCAACCTAGTTTGTGGCATCCACAAAAACTAGTATAATATAATACTACTTTTAAAGTAAGTGAGGCACAGTTACACAGGAAATAACAGTTTCTAACCAGGAAAGTAACTTTGTTTCAAATGTTGTTACATAGTGTAATCCACCTGTATCTCATTTTTAAAACATCTCATTATGTATTAATTGGAGCCTCCGGTGGTGCAGTGGGTTAAACCGCTGCTGCTAAACCTGTTGACCAAAAGGTTGGTGGTTCGAATCCGGGGAGCGACATGAGCTTCCGCTGTCAGCCCCAGCTTCTGCCAGCCTATCAGTTCGAAAACACACAAATGTGAGTAAATCAATAGGTACCGCTCCAGCGGGAAGGCAATGGCACACCATACAGTCATGCTGGCCACATGACCTTGGAGGAGTCTACGGACAACGCTGGCTCTTTGGCTTAGAAATGGAGATGAGCACCAATCCCCAGAGTCGGACACAACTGGACTTAATGTCAGGGGAAATCTTTACCTTTACCTTATGTATTAATTGACATGTAAATAAATACAGTTCTCCCCAAATTCAGAAGAAATGCAAAATCCAGGCTGCCCCTGGTCCCAAGCATTTTTGTATACATTAGACCAGCTTTTCTCAAACTGGGGGTTGGGACCCCTGGGAGGGTCACAAAGGGGTGTCAGAGGGGTCGCCAAAGACCATCAGAAAACACAGTATTTTCTGTTGGTCATGGGGGTTCAGTGTGGAAAGTCTGGCCCAATTCTATCATTGGTTGGGTTCAAAATGCTCTTTGATTGTAGATTAACTATAAATCCCAGCAACTACAACTCCCAAATGTCAAGGCCTGTTTTCCCCAAACTCCACCAGTGTTCACATTTGGGCATATTGAGTTTTTGTGCCAAGTTTGTTCCAGATCTGTCATTGTTTGAGTCCACAGTGCTCTCTGGATGTCGGTGAACTACAACTCCAAAACTCAAGGTCAATGCCCACCAAACCCTTCCAGTATTTTCTGTTGATCATGGGAGTTCTGTCTGGCAAGTTTGTTTCAATTCCATCATTGGTGGAATTGAAACATACAATCAAGAATGCTCTTTGTTTGTATGTGAACTATAAACCCCACCAACTACAACTCCCAAATGACAAAATCCACCCTCCCACCCCCCGCAACCCCACCAGTATTCAAATGTGGGCACATCGGGTATTTGTGTCAAACTTGAATGAAAACATATCCTGCAAATCGGATATTTACATTACGATTCATAACAGTAGCAAAATTATCGTTATGAAGTAGCAGTGAAAATAATTTTATGGTTGGGGGTCACCACCACATGAGGGACTGTATTAAGGGGTCGCGACATTAGGAAGGTTGAGAACCGCTGACCTAGTGGCTAAAATAGCGTCACCTTAGCTTTCTGTTGATCCAATGTATGCACACTTTGTTTGGTGCGTAAAATTATGAAAAATATGTCCAAAATGACTTTCAGTCTACGCCCATCAGCTGTGAATGAAACATGAATGAATTCCATGTTGAGACTTGGGCCTCATCTCTAAAACATCTCACTATGTACTGATATGTAAATAAATAGAGTTATCCCCAAATTCAGAAGAAATCCAAAATCCAAGCAGTTTCTGGTCCCAAGCATTTTTGGATACATTTGATTCTACCTACTTTTGTAATTGGAGATAATCTGGTAGAATCATAAGAGTTGGAAGAGACCTCAAGGGCCATCCAGTCCAACCCCCTGTCAAGAAGCAGGAAAATTGCATTCAAAGCACTCCCGACAGATGGCCATCCAGACTCTGTTTAAAAGCTTCTAAAGAAGGATCCTCAACACAATACGGGGCAGAGAGTTCCACTGCTGAACAACTCTCACAGTCAGGAAGTTCTTCCTCATGTTCAGACGGAATCTCCTTTCTTGTAGTTTGAAGCCATTGTTCCGCATCCTAGTCTCCAAGGCAGCAGAAAACAAGCTTGCTCCCTCCTCCCCATGACTTTCCTCTCACATACTTATACATAATTATCATGTCTCCTCTCTTCTTCAGGCTAAACATGCCCAGATCTTTAAGCCGCTCCTCATAGGGCTTGTTCTTCAGACCCTTGATCATTTTAGTCACCATCCTCTGGGCACATTCCAGCTTATCAATATTTGTCTTCAATTGTGGTCGTCAGTAAATAATGTCATAATCTTCACAGAAGTTTGTGGCAAGGCAATGAGCACTCACAATACCACTAATGGAATGTGTAAAGCCAAAAATTCCTGGGTGCATCTACACTGTAGAATTAATGCAGTTTGACACCACTTCAACTGCCATGGCTCAATGATATGGCATTTTGTGGGTTCTGGTATACAAGGTTTTAACCTTCCTCTGCCAAAGAGTGTGGCTGCCTCGCCAAATCCCATAGGCGGTCAAAAGTGTTGTCAATTCTAATGTAGAGGCACTCAGAGGGCTTTGGACTTCAACTCCCAGAAGCCTCAGCTGTTTTGGCAAACGACAAGGCATTGTGGGAGTTGAAGTCCAAAACACCAAAGTCAGGGAAACAGGGTTTAAAGGCGCTATTTTTTTTAAAGGGTGAGCTCTCAGCCTTCAGGTCCCACAGTGAGGAATGGGGACAGTGTAATGGCATATAAAGCGTTCCTTACCATGTCGCCCGCCTCCCGCCGGCAGCGGCCCCCTCCCTAAAAGGCGGGAAAGCAGCTGGAGCGGCAAAAGTGGCGGGAAGCTAAAAAGCCGTCCCGCCTCCTGGCTGACTGGCGCCACCTGCCGCCAATGAGCGGGGTCGCATGCAAGAGGATCATAATAGGCTCTCTCGGCCCCGCCCACTCTTCCTTTGACCATAGAGATAGGAAAGATGTAGAGATATAGCACAGAAAACTCTCTTAAATCACTGGGTTTTTTTTTTGGCTTTGTTTTGCAGTCGTTTTGCAGAATGTTGGGTGCCCACAAGACTGTGAATACATCTACCCTGAATATAATAGTAGTCTGATACTGCTCTAACTGTTAATGACTTCATCCTATGGGAGCTGTCCACCAGTGGAACTCTCTGCCCTGGAGTGTGGTGGAGGCTCCTTCTTTGGAGGCTTTTAAACAGTGGCTGGATGGCCATCTGTCAGGGGTGCTTTGAATGCAATTTTCCTGCTTCTTGGCAGGAGGTTGGACTGGATGGCCCATGAGGTCTCTTCTAACTCTATAATTCTATGATTCTATGATCTGGGGATTTGTAATTTGTTAGGAAGTTTTCTGCTAAAGAGCCCAGGTAAACATGTCAAGGTCACAAGCACAGAGTTACACTCAACATGTAAAAGTCAATGTATGTATGTACATGTATGTACGTATGTACCACAAAGGTTGCTAGGTGAAGTGGCCCTCCATGATGCCACTGGATTGGCTGTTACTATATGAAGTGGCCATGTGTGCCGTCGCCAGGTCTGTTATTGCTAGGTGAAGTGGCCCTCGATGACACCGGATTGATTGTTGCTAGGTGAGATGCCCCTCTGTGCTGTTGGTTGGCTGTTGCTAGGTGAAAATGAGCCTCAATGATGACACTGTATTGGCTGCTGCTAGGTAAAGTGTCTCTCTGTACTGTCACTGAGTTGGCTGCTGCTAGTCGAAGTGGGCCTCCATGATGTCACTGGGTTGGCTGTTGCTAGGTGAAGTGGCCCTCTGTGCTGTCACTGGGCTGACACTTGCTTGGTGAGGTGGGCCTCCATAATGTCACTGGGCTGACTGTTGCTAGGTGAAGTGGCCCTCAGTGATGTCATTGGGAAAGAAAGGTGACATGTACCCACTTGCCAGAACATTGCCATAGAGACATTGTGAGATAAGCCTTCCTGGAGCTGGAGAAGGGAGAAAGTAGAAGGGCAGTGGTCCCAATGACAACCAGACAACAGCCGGCTATATACTCTAGTATTCAATAAAACAGCCTTAAATTGGAGGTTTTAATTGTCAACCAAGGCTGGAGCTGCACTGCCATATAACCCAGTAACTGCTCCCGGATTATCTGCTTTGAACTGGATTATGAGTCTATACTGCCATATAATCCAAGAGAGCAGATAATCTGGGATCAGAGAGTGGATTATATGGCAATGTAGATCCAGTCCTAGTGTCCTCCAGAAATGTTAGTTAGCAATTCCCATTATTCTCAGCTGGAATGATGTTTGCATCCACTAACACTGTGTTACAAAATTTGAACATTATTCTGTTCCTGGTTTGAAAGTATTATTTCTGTTTAATTGTGCGGTACTTACTTTAAAAGCTGTTGTTATACTCCAGAAACTTCATTTTTGTGGCTGCCACAAACTGCAGCATGTTGAATAGGTTGCTGAGATATTCATTCAAAAACTGTAGCAAAATGTGTTGCAGGATGTCCTGCAAAAACAAAGTTTTTGCAGTTTAATAAACATTTTCCATGTTTTTTATGATAGAACCAATTAGAAAATGACATTTATAGCCCAGAAACAAAAATTGTGTTACACAGGGCCCTTCCAGATGCTATCCCAGAATCTGATCCCAGATTTTCTGCTTTAAACCGTATTATATGAGTCCACACTGCCAGATAATCTGAGATAAACAGAAAACCTGAGATCCGATCCTGGGATATAGGGCCTGCCTGGAAGGGCCCATAGTGTAATCAGTCCAGTTAACCTCATCAAGAGTGATATATGACATTAGTAATAGTATTTCATAAGTATCTGGAAAGCTACATATTCCTCTGTCCATGCTTTAGTACAAATGTAGACAATTGTTGCCTTCAATTTTGTTTTTGATCAGTCCCTCCAAGCAATGTATGCTACAGAAAGGGATATTTGCAGTTTGATAACTTCTGCCAGTAATTCTCCATCTCTGGTTTAGGGCAGTGATACTCAAAAGTTGTGCTCCATGCTTTCCAGAAAAAGATACAACCTGTTGTAGCCAATGGGGACAAATATAGTCCTGATTCCTGGCACATTATGAAAAAGAGGAGGTGGAGGAGGAGGGGGAGGAGAAGGAGAAGGAGAAGGAGAAAGACCCCACATCATATAGCTGTTTTGGTATGTATTTTAGCTTAGAATACAGCCAGCCTACCATATTTATGTGTTTGAATATAAAAGCAAAGTTTGATTTTGCCATTTCATATAAGGGGCCCCATTTTACCACACCATTGCATATAATGGGACTTAAGCATCCATGGATCTTTTGGGGTCCTGGAACCAAACCCCAGTTGTTACCAAGGGCACACTGCAATTGCAAAAAATCCTGTTAAGTCAGAGGTCCACAATTTTTAAAGGAAGGGCTAGGAGTGGCTCACTAGGGACACCTAGTGAGTTCATTAGAGAAGCAAGGTTCAAAGAAGACTTTTTCCTCATTTTAAGAGCCACTGTCCTTCCCAGTGTTCCTCAAAGTAGTGATCACGGCCATATATATACCCTTTTCCATAAAAATATAAAAACTTGGCTCTTTGAGCAAGCTTTTGCGATTGCAGCGGAATAGATAACATGAGATTATGAATAATGAACATGGAATGGTCAGAAAATGTGATCGGAAGATGTTTTAACAGGTTGACACCAATGATTATATGTTTTAATGATTTTTATATATGTTTTATATTGTTATGTTGATTGTTTTAACTGCACTTTATGAATGCATGGCATCGAATTGTGCCAATCTGTAACCTGCCTTGAGCCGCCGTATGCTTAAGAAAGGCGGGCTATAAATATCGTAAGCAAGGAAATAAATAAATTACCAGTCAGTCCCTGGCCAGTTTCCAGAAAGGGAAGACCTCATTGTACCCAACTGGCATGTGTTCCTGGCACATTGTGGGGAAAATGCCAGTCCTCCATATGAGATAGCTAGAGAGTCATTGCATCTTCTCTACATCAGCCCACAAAGAAGTAAAGGGGTTTGTATCCGCATAATGTATTAGGAATTCATCAGATGGAGTTGGGAAAAGTGGGGAAAATCGTCTTCTTTGCATCACCTTCCTCTTTAAAGAAGACAGAAAATTTACTTACCCCATCACACAGTAATGCCTCCTGTCAGCTCAACCATCCACTTTCAGGAGGCAGGAGGCATCGTTCTTAAGACAGACACCATTTCTTACTATGGGCTCCTTTCCTTTCCCTCCCAATCTCATTACTCTCAAGGAGACAGAAGGCATTGTTCTTAAGACAGACATCTTTTCTTTCTATGGGTTCCTTTCCCTTCCCTTCCCAATCACCTTACTCTTAACCACAGATCTCCACAATAGAATTTACTGTAGTTGGTAAAAAAAGGAGGAAACAAAGTTAAAAAGCCGCAATACTGCAATTTAGAAATCCAAGATGTCTATGACAGTAAAAACAAACTGGTGATATCTTGAAATTGCAGTATTCCTAATGATTAAATTAATTTTAAAAAATTACCACGGCAGGCTCATGTAGCAGGATTTTGGGAGAGAAATGGAGCATCAATGCTTGGTAGGAGATTGACCATAGGAACGGCCATTACTACACGTCACTGAAGCGAATCAACACAGGCAAATTTGACAGATCCGATCCCATGTGTTTCCTCCTACTCCTTCCCATTTCCACATACATTCAGATTTCAGAATATTATTTCAAACTGGCCCCGGTTGCCCATTTCCCAACACTTCAGTTCATAGATGAAGTAGCACAGGCAAGAGGCACAAGTCCTCTTGTATCATATGATGGGATCCATGTTGCTCCATCTATGAACTGTTTTAGAAGTGTGTGGAAACTAAGGGGCTGCAATGGAGATCTTGCATGTGATGAAGTCCTAAAACATATTTCCCAATTTTCCAATCATGCATAGAATGTTCTTTTTTCAAACACAGGGACCTACTGCCTCATTCTTAAGGCTTTAAAATGAGAGATTAAATGGGAAACACGAGTAGTTAAAAAGAGAAACTCTATGGTGTGGAAACAATGGAATCTGGGGGGGGGATTATTATTTTAAAAAAACACGAATGAATTCCTATGCAGACTGCACATATCTTATTTGTAGTGCAAAAACACTTAAAAATACAATAATTAAAATGAAGAACAATTTTAACAAATATAAACTTATTAGTATTTCAGTGGGAAGTGTGGGCCTGCTTTTGGCTGATGAGATAGGATTGTTGTTGTTGTTGTTGTTGTTGTTGTGTGCTTTCAAGTAGTTTCAGACTTAGGTTGACCCTGAGTGAGGGCTGGGTAAATGACCTTGGAGGGCCTTATCTGGCCCCTGGGCCTTGTTTGAGGACCCCTGTTCTAGATGTTTGGGACTGCAATTCCAAGAATTCCTAATCGTTGGCCATACTAGTAGAAATTCCTCAGACCTAAAGTCCAAAATCAGGAGGACCAAATACTGGGAAGCATTGACAAAGATCAATAAGTACCATTTACCTTCCAACACATCTGCTTTGTATGAAAGAGCCCAGAGGAAGCTAAGATACATGACCTGTTTTGAGAAGAAACTCATTTTTTATTCTATCTCTATATTAGAAATTTATGATTGCTCTTCAATATATATCCTTACTACGTCTTCCCTATTAACAAAATAGGGAAGTCACAACTACAAGTTTGTTAGGATAGTATGCCAAGCCAGATGTCTTTAACTCTGGGGGGAAAAAACAAGAGGAAACAACCTTCATTCATTTATTTTTATTTTGCAGGGTTGTGAATGATAAAAGATACATATTTGAGTCTGGACTTTCCTATTGTTCCAACACAAGGTAAGGTTTTTTTTTTTAAGCTTTCTTTGTAGGACAAAGCGTAAAGAACACTGTGGCACACATGAAGCTAAACCTACACACCAACACTCTTCAATGAACAGCTTTCATCCTCAGCCTTAACTAGACAGGATTCAATTTCTTCTCAATAGAGAGGAGAAGGGAATGTAGCTGTTGGTGAGAAAGAAAAAATGACTACGATACGTCAGTATCATTTTTAGAGAGTGCAAGACTTTATAGCATTGTTTACACAAAACATATGAAACTGACTTATAAAGCTGGAATGTACAAAAAAAATCCAAGGACCAGAAGAGTACAACATATGAAACAATTCAGTTTCTAGCACAGAGATATTACAATACACGATGCACATTATGGAACATTCTCATGTCATAAAGCAGGGACCAGGGGAAGCAAACCATTGGGGTTAAGGCTGTGTTGCGCACGGACATCCATGTAAAGTGTTGTACATTCATCAGAAACTATCACCACTCTGGCATCATCCTACACTACACCACAAACATCTTCCATACATTCTTCAAAACACAGACCCTTGGATTCACTGCTCACAGTTGATCATCAACAGCGTTTTCAGCAGACATTAACACTTTTGTTCCATGCTGTCAGCCATATTGTTATTATTATTATTTTAAAAAAGAATTATTTCCTCACACAACAAGCATAACTTAATGGGCACTTGTTTTTCATTATGGCAACACTAGATCCTTAGTCATCAAAGAAAAACTAGCTGTAAAGTTGAAAGCCCTGTAATGTTTACAAAGGTCAACAACAATAGACAATATTTTCTCATTACATTGCTGAAACTTTAAATTAGTGTAAAAACTCCATTAGTATTTAACATTTTTTTTCTTTTTTTACAGTTAAAAAAACCCTTCAATATACAGTTTGAGTTTATCCAAAAATGAATTGACAGTATTTTTTTACTTTGCTTCAAATAAACACAGATGTACTCGCACTGCTCAGAACATGTTACGACTCATTACTGTTCATTTCAGCACCACTTGACATTGAAGGAGAGCTATACCACAAACCTAGACCAGAATTGCCAAGGAAATTTGGGCCAAAGCTAGGACTGTTGATCCAGTTTACAACTGCAGTGTAGATAAATCCCAAGCTGCAACTGTTGAGCTTAGTACAACAACAAGCTTGGGTTTGACCTACATGTGCCTTTAGATCAGAGGCGAGCAAAATGTGGCTTTCCAGATGTTGCTGATTACAACTCCCAGTTGTTGCTGGGCTCAGCTTTAGCCAACATAACCAATCGTGATGCATGAGAGCTATAGCCCAACATTTAAAGGTCCACATTTTGATGACCCCTATCTCAGCCATTAATTCTGATAAATATTTACCTGATTAAAAAAAATTATATTTTCTTTTGAACATCACACTTCTGCAATTGTGGTTGTTTCTGAGAGCTTCAAACATTAACTGTGTGTGCGGCAAAACCAGCTGTCTTTAGGAGTGAAGATCTGAAAACCTGGAAGCAAGATTATTGCTAGCTGATTTTCAAATGCTTACTACTGCAGCAAACTATTTTTGCTCTGTGTCTAGCTGATGAATAATAGTGTGCATTGCCAATGTATTTTACAAAATCCTAACAATTCATCAAGAGAGAACCAGGATCTAAGAAGGTATGGAGGGGAAGGCCACATCACCCTTAATATGTGTTCGCTTTGTTGTAAAGGAAAGAAGCAGAAATTCAAATCTTAGGGAAAGGTAGCATTACATACAACATTATTTAGGTATTATTTACTAGAAGAATTAAGAAATGATTACATTGTAAGAGATGCATGGGCATGTCTGCATGCATGAAATGATCTCCACGTTTAACTTTTGGTGCTACCCTTATAAAATTCCATAGTTCCTTCTTCTGCAAAAGATCAATTAAAAGGAGCAGGGGCACAACAGGGCCTGAGAAACGTCTGTTGGTGCCACTGTTTAAGATAATTTGGCTCAGTACCCCCCAACCCCTCTTTTAAATTCAAGTTAACATTGCTTTTTGTTCCCAGAACATCTTTACAAAAGTGTAAAACTATTAAGCCAAATTGGTGTGACAGTGAGCCTTGAATCAAGTTTATAGTAATAACACACTTAACAAATCTGTGAGTTCCTTTACATTAGAAGCTCAAGAAAAATGACAAGACAGCTTAAGGTTTCTTTTTTTGTTTTTGTTTTGTTTACATGGTTAATAAATACACATTAAATCATAAATAGAATATCCCTTTTCCCCAGAGAATTTAAATACCAGTAGCTTTCAAGAAGGCTCAGTATCCAAGACTAACAGTATCTGGTGTCTTTTGCCAAAAGACACTTCTTTGTTTACCCAAGAACCATAAAACTTGATTCTTGGCATTACTGATTGTAAAAGGATTATTTTATAGCAACAAGTGAAATTATTCTATTATCCTTAAAAGATGAGGAAATAAAGCCTTAAACACTGATTATTTATATGTCTTGGCTGAATGTGGCATTCCAGTTTTCTAGCTAGTGTTGTTAAGAGCTAGCTACATAATTGTGTGTATGTGTTTTGTACATATTTTCACTGGACTCTATTTAACATTTTAAGCAATATAATGGTCTCTACCAACCCTAAAAGTATAGGGTGGCAGCTATTAAAACATCAGTCAGAAAAAAATAAGATTATTGTGCGTTTTCCGGGCTGTATGGCCATGTTCCAGAAGCATTCTCTCCTGACGTTTTGCCTGCATCTATGGCAAACATCCTCAGAAGCTGTGAGGTCTCAACCTCTGAGGATGTTTGCCATAGATGCAGGCAAAACACCTGGAGAGAATGCTTCTGGAACATGGCCATACAGCCCGGAAAAAATGCAACAACCCAGTGATTCAGGCCTTCGACAATACAATGTAAGATTAGTTTGGATACAGAAACCACACTATTCACTGACAACTTGCATAAGGCTGGAGATAGTACATGGCCTCCAACTGCTTGCTATCAGAAGTCACTTAATCTAAAAAGAATTTTAAAAATATGATGATGAATGTTGTTGCAAATAAGTTAGAACACAATAGTAAACATGTTGGGTGAGCACAGATGTGACTCTAATAATTTACAAGGCTTGTATATGGGAAGGTGGTGGGGAAAAGAGATGTTTTCAGAATACCCTTCAATACAAATGGGGTTTGATTGTTCTTGGTTGTTCAAATCCCCTACATTTTCATTCCTTATTCACTGTACTCAAACATATACATGTGTTAAGACAAATTATTATTATTATTATTTGCAAATCATGATTTTCAAGACTTGTTCTCCAATGTATTTCTTTTGTTATGCTCAATAGATGTTTCTTGTTTAGTTGTTTTTATACAAAAAGACCTGCTTTTGTAATCCTCAGAATACTATTTTCCATCCCAGATTAGATATGTCAACTGCCAAATTTCCTTTGGTTATGTAAAGTAGATCCTCTACTTATACTGTATCAAAATGTATAACTGAACTAAATGGGACTATTTTCAGAATCACAGCAAGAGCAGATGTGAAGCATGAATGTTAGCTGTGAAGTTTGCTAAGCTGATGTAAGTCACTTAATTCTCTAGTCAGTGGTATCAATAGGAATTTGGTTCTATAAAATATCAACAGTAACCCACCTATATAGAGAGTGTACTTCCAGATTTTTATAAGTTTGGGGATCTGGAAAATCCTAACAACACAATGTGAGCAACAGGGAAGTTGATAATCATGTACATCAAATCTCACGTAGGACTGGGAGTTTGCATTGATTCTTGTAGTGTTAGAAATCGAGCTGTGTTAGATCTAACAGCTAGTACAAGAAGAGTTAACCATATATCCTTATTACTAAAAGAAACTATTTATTACATGAACTAGGAAGGAAGAATCTTACAAGTGTAATACTTAGCTATAACAATGTGATCTAGAAGGTTCCCAGACTTCCTGCTGGGGTCAAATAGTCCTTAACACACACAACTTCCAAACATGGATGCTTTAAACCAGCACTCCCATTCACATATTGTATACACCCTTTAATAACAAGTAACTTTTTATGTTCTTCCCCTCCTTCACAAAAATTGGTCAATTACAGAAATGCCTGATCTACAAGCCATAGTTCATATGTCTAGTGTTCCACTGTCTTTGTGAATTTGGGGAAGGGGAGGGAGAAAAAACAGGGTTGTATGTATTAATCCCCTAGGACACGTTCAGTGCAGAACATATGAGGTGCAAATCCTATGTAAACAATGTAGGTTTAGGGGATAAACTGGAGCCTCCTTCAGCATTAAAATTGAAGTATTTAAGAGGTGGACATCCTACACAAAAGGATCTATCTTGGATTTCTGAAGCTAGAAACATCTTGAGCGAGATCCTGTTCCAGTTGTTACTGTAAATATCGATAGACTTTGAAGCAGTGATTGCCGGAGTCTGCAACTACCACATGACCATCGGATGTCAAGGCCAAACCTTGAGGACCATACAGTGGATCAGCAGATGTGTTTATATAGGATAAAAAGGATCCACTTCCATCAAAAACCTGGGGAAAAAAGTAAAGAGAACTTTAATCAGTCAAAGAAGGCAAACCATAACACTGGCCAACATACATTTTGGTACCTCAAATGTTAAACCTGTTCCTGGATATATTTGACAAGCTGGCTCCAAAAATGGCCCCAGTTTTCCCCTACCAGCTCTAGGGTTTGAGATACAGAACATATGCCACATACTAGTCACTATCTGCTTGTCCATAGAAAACCATGATAACCCCATTTAAGAAACTAGAGATGATGTAGTCCATCCAGTGCAAACTTCTGGATCAGAACCTCAAATAACCCCCAAAACAGGCCTAAAACCCAACACAACAAAAAAATTTTTTTTGTTGGACTGTGTACTACATGCATGCTGTAATTATCGTGCAGACACTAAAATATATGCACATTCTTGTCTGAATTGAAATGCAGCATAAAAAAAACTATGCTGCTACACCAAACCAAATCTCGATTAATCCTCTGCACTTTTAACAACTGTACACATGTAAGGTATGTTGTATTATCTAAGGCTTTCGTGGCTGGAATCACTTGGTTGCTGTGAATATTTCAGGCTGTATGACAATGTTTCGGTAGCAATCTCTCCTAACATTCTGCCAGCATCTGTGACTGACATCTTCAGAGGTTCTGTTGGCAGTGAGGCAAGTGGAGTGTGTGTGTGTGTGTGTGTGTGTATGTATGTGTATGTATACACACACACACACACACACAACCCATACACTCCACTTGCCTCACTGTCAACAGAACCTCTGAAGATGCCAGTCACAGATGCCAGTGAAACATTAGGAGAGAATGCTACTGGAACATGGCCATATGTCTTTTAAGATTTAATAGTTGGCTCCTGAATTTTTCTTGTTTCTTATTGTTGAGCTAAGAAGCATCTATCTTTTTTTAAAAAAAAATGAGATGGGAGTCACAAATGGACAGTTCTGGAGTGGCATCTTCCACCTTGTTTTGGGTCACATAAATTTAGTATCAATGTACATTAAAGCAATTGCAGATGGCAGTATGTAACACATTTTTGTTCCTGTGTTATAATTGTCATTTCCTAATTGGTTCTATCATAAAAACAAGGAAAAGGTTTATTAAACTGCAAAAGACTTTCTTTTGCGGGACATCCTGCAGCACATTTTGCTATAGTTCTACAACGAACACATCTCAACCAATTCAACATAGTTTGTGGCACCCACGAAAACTAAGTTTCTGGAGTATAACAACTACTTTCAAAATAAGGATGGCACAATTAAACAGGAAACAACAGTTTCAAACCAAGAACAGAATTTTTTTTTCTAACTTTGTTATATTTATTTATTTATTTATTTATTTATTTACAACATTTCTACCCTGCCCTTCTCAATTTCCGAGGGGAGACTCAGAGCGGCTACATAGTGTTCATTTCAGAATTTTGACCCTTGGAAGTTTTCCTTCCCCAAAGATCCTGGAATATTTTGTTCCTGCCAAATTCTTCCTCTCCATTACCCTTAATATTTTAAGCATTTCCAAACCTGGATTGAGAACAACTATGACCAATGCAATTTTAAGTTTTGCTGTGCTTCATTAGCCGTTGTGATGGTTTCACAAATATAATAATGTTGTTGTGTAATTGTTGACAGTTCAAAAAGAGTACAGAATGATAAGAAGCAATTAAGAAAGCTTCACAAAGCAACCCATTATTTATTTTTAAAAATAATGGTTGGCACCATATATTGTAATTATGAATATTTAACCCAGAGTTGCAAATTTGGGGATGAGGGGCTGCTTTCCTGTTCTGCCTCAAGTCACAAAATGTACTTCTTTAGCCCTAGGAGGAATTCCTATCTAAACAATGTATTTATGCCATTGACCTGAAAAAGAAGGCTTTGCCTACCTGTATTCTGCTGTTTCCCCAGTCTGCTACAATAATATTTCCATTAGAATCCACAGCTACTCCTGTTGGAGCATTGAACTGCCCGTTCCCTTCTCCATTAGACCCAAACTTCAACATGAATTCACCTTCCTGGTTAAATACCTGCACGAAATATTTCAAATATATATAGGCTGTAAATTATATAACACCAAGTGACGGGAGCCAAAAGACGAGACAATTATTATCCTCAGACATATAAATCAAATCTTGAGAAAAGACAAATATTTGGATTCTCAAAGTAAAAGATGTCAGGCTATGTAGGCAAGACTCAAATGGAGGAATAATACTGTCTGCAGATGAAAATGATAACAAACTGTACAAGAACAAATTTACAAAAATATATATTTTAAGAAATGATAAAACATCATAGCCATGTGTCATAGTTCCTAGCACACACATGCGGTAGATTTTTACGTCCCCTTCTTCAATTTTTGGCAAGAGTAAACTATAGATCCTGGGCTTCCATGGGAACTTATCATGCTTTTTTTTTGTTTTGTAGTGAGATCAGTGTTGATGGACAAGTTCATATCATTTGCATGCCACAACACAAGAAGTGGCTGGATGCGTTGTCTGTTCAAGCAGGAAAACGGGAAGGCTCTCAAGCTCTAGGATTTCTTTTTTCAAAACTCTCTATACCAAATAGGAATTTCTCAACAACAAGAAGTTAGCAGAATTACACATTAACCTTCACATCATTCTCAAAAAGTGAAATATGTATTTTTGAGGTTTTATAGTGGAAGCTGTCATAAGGCTGGAACTACAGGCTAAATCCAGCATTAGTCCTAGGCCCCTTCTACACTGCCATATAATCCAGTTCAAAGTAGATAATCTGGATTTTATATGGCAGTGTAAAAGGGGCTATAGAAAAGTAGCAGATCCATTACTTGTGACAAAACCAAGTGTCATTCATTGGGACATGGGGCAAAGGGAAAATGGGCTTTTCTATTTTTATGTGCTTTCTAATCATTTCTGATTTATGGCAATCATGGGGTTTGCTTGTTAAGGGGTCGGACTTAGCACAGTAGGTTAAACTGCTAAGCTGCAGAAAATCTTGCTGACTGAAAGGTTGGCAATTTAAGCCTGGGTCGGTATGAGCTCCTGCTGTCAGCCCCAGCTTCTGCTCACCTAGGAGATTGAAAAGAGCAATGTGAGTAGATAAATAGGTACTGCTTTAATCAGGGAGGTAATAAAAAAGGTGCCCATAAAGACATGCTGGTGACTCAATCAGGAGTATTTCTACGGACAACAAAGCTCCTCGGCATGGAAGATGGAGCGACAGCACCTCTCCGTGGCCAGAGTAGAGCACAGGAGTGACTTGAGAAACTGCAACTTGCTTCTGTGTGAGAGAATTGGCTATCTGCAAGGACGTTGCCCAGGGGATGCCTGGATGTTTTATCATCCTGTGGGAAGCTTCTCTCATGTTCCCACATGAGAAGCTGGAGCTGACATACAGGAGCTCACCTACTCCATTTTGGTCAGCAGTCCTGCCGGCACAAGGGTTTAACCCATTGCGTCACCAGAGGCTCCAGCTTCCAGATGCCAGAAAAAGATGGGAAAGCCTTATTTCTTTTTATGTACTGTTTGTCCTTGTCAATTGTATAACAGCATTGAATGTTTGCCATATATGTGTTCTGTAATCTGCCCTGAGTGCCCTTGGGGAGATAGAGAGGAATATAAATAAAGTATGTTGTTGTTGTTGTTGTTGTTAAGATTGAGAAGGGATTTGCCACTGGCTTCCTCTTAGGTTAAGAGAGTGTGATATGCCCAAGGTCACCCACTGGGTTTCCATGGCTGAATGGGGATTCGAACCATATCCCAGCCTTCAAATCACGATGTCATGCTTGTCCCAGGCTTTTCTACTTACACATTTTTTTCTGATTCTTTCCCTCAACTGCTCCTATTTCTGATACTAAAATTGGACTCTTATACACAGCTATTACTCAACTCAGTGGGTATTATTTCTGTGTAAATATGTACTCCATGTGTGGCTTTAATCAGGGTTTTGGTATGCTCATTCTTGATTAGTTTTATTTATAACTTTTATTCTTGCAAGCTGCTCCAAGAATGTTAGGGGACTATTGTTAAATATAAGTATTTAAATTAAAAATAAACCTAAAACATTCATTTAATATATAGCCACTGGGTAAGGCCCCCAGCCTAGTTCACTGGTACATCCTCCCACATGGGAGCGTCTTGCTCCATTACTATAAGGCTCTGATTGGGAGGCAAGGGAATTGCCCTAGAAAATCTAAAATTAAATTGGGTTTCTTCAAACATTAAAGTTTGGCTTCATGACAACTTTATAATTTATGCTTTTCATTAAAATTGTAATTAAAATGTAGCAGTTTTTTTGTTGATGTATGCCTGTACTATCCAACATACTGGATATGATATATAGCAGAATTGTCTTCTGTTAGTGAAATGTGCTGACATATGTGTCAGCTTTAGTTCATGCTCAAGGCTATTTTAATTTATACTACTAGTCAATGCAGAAAATATTCCCTTGATCTAATAAGTCTGGGTCATTGATGTCATAGAAGAAAATGCATACCATAAACATAACAAGAAAGATAAAGGTTTAGTTGCCCTCTTTCGTTCTAATTCTGGATAGGAAATAGGGACAAAGGGACAATATTAGCAACTTCAGCTTGGAAAAGTTACTATTTTGAATTTATGGGGCTTACAATCCATGTTAAAGCTAAAATAGCAATGCATTTTTTTCAAATGTTTAATCGGGTTCTGAACATCTTTATTTCTTGTTTGTTGGAGCTGGGCCATAGCCCTAACAATTGATGTCATTATTAGGAAATCCTGCATTGCTGTACAATTGTTACACTGATCAAAACAGCAGCCCCCCTGCCAGTAAACTATGCCAACAATCTGTTTTATAGAGACTCCAGTGGTCTTTTTTCATTGTACATAAAACCATAGGAGCGATTATTTCCTGTCTATTTCCAGAAACCGAGCACAAATGCTCTCAGTTTGAAAGTTATGCTACTCAATTGTAATGTAGCTTTATGGTGGTATGAAGATCATGTGGGATTGCCTTTGCCTGATGCTCAACTTTGGTTGCCATGTTATTTGAGTCACTTGGACACCACCTGAAAAGGCTTCCATTTGGCTTCTGTAGTGAAGTCCTGCTTATCTGGTAGCATCTCCAAATGCATATTTGGCATTCAATGGACTCACACTTACATACAAACACAAGCAAATATTAATTCCATACTACTCAGATATCTACTAGCACACTGCTTCTTAAAATGAGGGTCCGGATCCCAAATGGGATCCCCATAATGGATGTTTTAAACAGTTACATGAACCCGTGGTGCAATGTTTGGAGTGGTCTTTGCAGAAGATTATTTAATGATGATGATGGTTTGATACACAATAAGATTAGTACAAAGTAAACAAGATCCCTATGCTGGCTTTTGTATTCAATCACATATCGCCATTACCTTCCTGCCAGAGCGGTACCTATTGATCTACTCACATTTGCAAGTTTTCAAACTGCTAGGTTGGCAGAAGCTCAGGCTAACAGCGGGAACTCATGCTGCTCCCTGGATTCGAACCTGTGACCTTTTGGTCAGCAAGTTCAGCAGCTCAGTGCTTTAACCCACTTCGCCACCGGGGTCTATTATTATTATTATTATTATGTTTATTTATATTCTGCTTTTTCTCTCCATGCGGAGATTAAAGCATCTCACAATTAAAAGCATTGCAATACAACTTCAAATATACAAATATTAAAACAGCATTAAACATCATTAATATTAAAAAGAATTCAAGTTAAAATCATAAAAGCATACAAAACCCCAGCATCCCCCTGACTAGATCTTAAACACTTTCATCTGCTTCAGCTATACTTCATAAGAAGAAAAATCAGCCTGTTTAGCAAGCCTTGAAAATGTTGATATGTTATCAGTAAATGCTTGGTTTTATATACCGTTTAATACACTTATATATATCATGTAAAAATTTCTCTGGCCAAAAGAGGTCCTGAGTGAAAAAATTTAAGATGCTCCACACTAGCACATCAAGCATGTCAATTCTTTTTGTTATGGTTACAATATTTTTGATTTCCACGCATGTGAACATGGTAAATATATAAGGACATTTTCTTTCCTATAGTAGTGGTTTGGCATTTAAAGAAGATGGGAAGAATTTATATTTCATTACCACTATTTACTATACAATTACAATTAGTGGGACAAAGAGACTTAGTACTTCCCCCCCCCCCCGATACAATGGCTCCTTTGACATGCCACCCCCCCCCCCCCATAGTTAACAGTAATTAGAAGCCTCTCCCATTGGTACCAACAAGTGTCAAATAAAACACTTTGGATAACATACAAGGGAGCATTTTGTAGTACAGGTGAAGAGGGAAGATTTCAATCTCATCACACAGCATCTCCTAGTCCTGATCCACTTTGGAGAATCTACTCTTTTGAGTAATTAGAGCTGCATCTGATGTATTTAATGTAAAACCCTTTGTTTAAGACCTACTTGGCCAAACAGATATATTTGCTCAGTAGATTAACCCAGTAACAGTTTACGGCGATCATGTCAGTGGGATAATGAATCTACACTATGTTTTAATCCAAGATTTAAAGGAGCTATCCAAGGTGCTTGGTCTATTTGGGGAGTCAAGTCGAGCACTCTGAATAGAGCCCTTAAAGCCTGGAATAAAACTTTTATCAGTACAGTAGTGGACTCATTGTATTAACAACATTTGACACATTAAGCCGCCCTGAGTCACTTCAACAGCAACAACAAAACTTTATTTATATACTGCTCTATCTCCCCAAGGGGACTCAGAGCGATTTACAAGTAACATCATCAATACATACAGAGTAAACAACACAACCATAAGATTAACAAGACTATATGAGCATTAAAAAATCACAATAGTACATATATGTTTTGAGGAAAAGGGGTGAGAAACAAAGTTTAATAAAAATAATTAATAAAAATAATCATTAAGGACATTGTAGAATAAACTCTTTGTTTAAGGCTTAGAGGATCACACATTATAAATATAAGTTCAAAATTATGGATTTTATGTTTCTTGAAAAACAGCACCATACCTTGACAGAGTGATTGTGGAAATCAGTAATAATAATTTCATTATTGTGGTTGACAGCTGCAAAATGGGGACCTGTAATAAATAGGAAAAAATATATATAAAGGACAATCCAGAAGAGCAAAAATGAGTTAAAGTATTAGAACTGTCCACATTTAACATTAATTATAAGAGTTTCTTCAGAAAAAAAGGGTACTGTTCCATTATCCAGATGGGGACCACTAGGGGGCATTAGAGAGAGAAGAATAGTTGGAGGAAAACCATTTCCCCTGTTTTCATTGGACATTCTCATTCCCCATTTCCCATTTTATAAACAAGGGTTGTTTTCTCCATCACGACATGGATGGGGGAAATAACAGGAAAACAGGGGAAAATGGTTTTCCTCCTTTGACCCACCCACCACCTCAGTAAAATGGATTATCCTTCTCTCTCTAGCACCTTCTAGTGGCATTCACCCAGATAATAGAACAGGACTAAAACAAACATTTCTTACAGACAGTAACAATGTATTCTTATTCAGCTAAACCAAGTACTTGATTTTTGCCAAATATCACCTAATTTGATTGAGAGGGAGAGTAGCAAAGTTATCTATTTTTTCACATGCTTAGTATGGTATTTTATTACAAGATATAGCCCTTGATCCAAAGAAATGCATTTTTAGAATTTATGGAATCGAACGTCTTTTCTAATAGCCCCACAAGTGCATGGGCAACCATTTCTGAAACCAAGAGAAGTTTACAAAAATAGAAACTATAATTTGGCATAGAAGGTTTTGTTTAAAAGGACAAGGATATAAAAAACATCACACACATTGTCTTAACATTATTATTTTATTTTTTTCTATGCCCTCCTCCCATTAAAACATCTCAAAATGGCATACAACAAAGAAAAACACATAACTGCCTAAAATATGTAAAACTGAAAGAAACAGCTTAAAATAAAAAGAATGCAACCATGATCTATGGCAAGTTAAAGATCAGCTACCATACTTGAAAAGTAAAGGTTTTCCCTAAAATTAAGTCTAGTCGAGTCCGACTCATTTCTAAGCCGAAGAGCCGGCGTTGTCCATAGATGCCTCCAAGGTAATGTGGTTGGCATGCCTGCATGGAGTACCATTACCTTCCTGCTGGACTGGTACCTATTGATCTACTCACATTTGCATGTTTTCAAACTGATAGGTTGGCAGAAGCTGGGGCCAACAGCGGGAGCTCACCCCTCTCCATGGATTTGAACCGCTGACCTTTACATCAGGAAGTTCTGCAACCCAGCAGTTTAACCCGCTGCGCCACCAGCATAATTAGACTACCTCTATAAATTCACTTTCAAGAGCAAGGAAAACATAGATGATGTCAGGGCCTGTCCTGAGTTCAGAGGTGATACTTTTCAATGGGAAGGTATCTCCACAAAGAAGTCCCATTTTCTATATACCATTGGTTGCACCTCTCCATTGGCCTGCCTTGCCAATTGGAGTGATTCTACAGGACTGTACTCCAGACAGAAATCTGGACTTAATTACAATTGGTAGTCCAACAGATTAAACCCACTGGATCAATGTAATTTATCTAAATATTAAATTATCAAGTTTCCAGTAATTTGGTGTGTCTAATTCTAGTTGGGGCTAGCAGCTGGATTTAAGCAATAGGCAAGCAATAGGCCCTTGTACTTTTCTGTAGTGTGTCTTTTCATTTTCAAACGAATAGGCATCATGGGTATAGATAACTCTAAAATAAAAAGTGGCAGATGCATTAAGACAAATGGTGCCTGACTTTTTTATTGCTAACTATCCGTTTTTGCTTGTGGAACTATATATCAAATTTTGCAAAGCAATTACATTATATTGTCTGTAGACTATCTCTCTTATGAGCACAAAGAAACCTTCTCACCCTCAGAAGTCTATTAAGTGCTGATTAGCATCTCACCTGTCTCCAAGGATAAAATTAAGTCTGGGTCCTTAATGGGCAGTTACCTAAAGCATCTTAAAGCACACTTTGGTATCTAAACAAAGTCCTGTGCAAGTTCTGGCACAGAACCTAAGCTGTAATTTTTCCTGTTGATTAAATACTAACTGCAATATGAGCAAGAAGGCTGTGTTTATTACACAGTAAAAGACTGTTTAGGAACATTACATCATATTAATTTCCATCTTGCAAAATACTTTATGAAAGTAATATCCACTAAGTATATACAATCTAACATTATCAAACATGTTCCTTATTTCCTGAACTGACTTTGACAATTATATGTATCCAATTTCAACATATAACCAGCAATTCAACACATCAAAGAGATTGTGGCTGTTAGGAACAGTGCTTGTTCTTCCCAGTTTTGAACCTACAAAGATGAGAAGTTTAAGATTCTTTTTCAAATGGCTACAAATGTGACTGAAATGTGTGTTGAAAACAAAAATAGTTGGCATGTTAATCAATTATAGATACCTGCAAATTGTTTGTCCCCATTGCCTCGGCTTCCAAACCGGGTTACTATTTTTCCATTAGGCTGGAAGATGAACACACAACATGCTTTGTTGTCCACAACAATGATGTGCCCATTTCGATCCACAGAAACGCCTTTCGGTCCCATAAGTTTTCCAGACCCAATTTTTGTCTACAGGAAGAAGACAGAGCTTAAATTTTCTCTTTAGTGCACTAATATATGAACATGGTAAGATATGCTTCAGTTACATTGCATTTGGAATACTGTAAGACACACTGAAAAGTGTCCATAAACTTAAAGAATGTGGAAGCTAAATCATTAATTCTAGTTGACTATTGAAACCACAAATCCTCCCAACTAAAATATATGGACTGGGCTTTTTATTCATTTCCATAACCAAAATATGAATGGCAATCATTAAAGCCATTGAGGCTTAGAGTTGTGAAGCTGTTCTCCTGATTAAGCAGTTCTTTTATACCTTCTATCTATCCCAACAAGTTGGTTCGATGGGGACAGAGACAGGACATTATTGGTAGTCTAGAACACCTTTCAAGAAAGGATTTTCTTTTTAATCTCATAACTTTTCTGGACCCAGTTCTATATGGCTAAGATTTAGGCTGTTTGAAAGTCTGTATCAAAACGGTCCTGGCTCAGAAAACAGTCCTAAACAGCTTTGGCCCAGTTTATCTGTCCGAACGTATCTCCTCCTATGAACTACCATGCAGTTTAAGACCATCTGGGGAGGTCCTGCTCTCGCTCTCACGTCCCTCGCAGGCACTATTGGTGGAGACGAGAAGCAGGGCTTTCTCAGTGGTGTCTCCCCGGCTGTGGAACTCCCTCCTCAGGGGTATTAGAACAACCCCCTCCCTCCTGACCATCCGCAAGAGAGTGAAAATGTGGCTTTGTGACCAAGCCTTTAGAGAACTTGTGCAAAAGATAAGACTTGGAACAATGTGCAATGACCATTGGAACGGCCCGGATTACGCTTGTGGATTACGTGTTTAACTCTGAATGTATTGTCGAAGGCTTTCATGGCCGGAATCACTGGGTTGTTGTAAGTTTTCTGGGCTGTATGGCCATGTTCTAGAAGTATTCTCTCCTGATGTTTCACCTGCATCTATGGCAGGCATCCTCAGAGGTTGTGACATTTGTGCTTTCCTATTCCTTAGTTTTTCCAATTTTTGTGTGTCTTGGAACATCCCGTAAAGATGTTCAATGTATTGTCAAAGGCTTTCATGGCCAAAATCACTTGAATCTGAAGATGCCTGCCATAGATGCAGGCGAAACGTCAGGAGAGAATACTTCTAGAACATGGCCATACAGCCTGAAAAACCTACAACAACCCTCTGAATATATTGTTTTTAAATGTTTTAATTGTTTTTAATGTACTTTTAAATTCTGTTTTAATATTTATTTAAGTGTACATTGTGTTTTAAGGCATCAAATCATAGCCTCTATGAAAGCCGCATTGAGTCCCTACCGGGGTGAGAAAGGCGGGGTAGAATTGCCGTAAATAAATAAATAAATATCTCACTGTAAGAGCCTGTTTGAGCTCTAAGATCTTTGAGAGAGGACCTTCTCTCTGTCCAACATCCTTCTCGGCTCATCTGGTGGTGAAGGTGGCCTACTTTGTAGGTGATCCCAGACTTTGGAACTCCATTTCCAGGGAGGCTAGGATGGCTCCCTCCTTGTTTTGCTTTTACCAAGAAGTGATCCCCCCCCCCCAATATTCCATCAGGGTTTTAAGAAGTGGCCATAATGAGCTTTGTTGACTGTTAAAATGTTATATTATAATGGATTTTAAATGGTTTAATTTATATAATCACTGTTTTTCAAATAATGTAATTATAATCTATCGCATACATGATGTTTTGCATGGTTTTTAATCTGTACTGGTTTTAATAATTTGTAAGTCGCCTTGAGACTCGTTATTGTGGAAAGGAAAAGATATAAAGCCAAAACAACAGCCAGAGTTCACTGATGAAGAGATACTGGGTGACAGAGTCAGAGAAGTACCGTAATCTTTTCAAGCATTGCTTCCAGTATGTTATTATTTTAAATAAGCTTTTGCAAGCAATAACTTAAGCATTTTTACTTGTTTTGATGGTGCTCCTATGATATATTTCTTCTGGCCCTGTTTTTTTGTCTCACTGTTCTTATATTTTTATTGAATTTAATGGATATCCATATTATAAAATAATGATTTATTTGTATTTAATATTTGTATTTTAAACTTACCTTAAATTTTCCATCAGAGGAGAATATGCTAACCCATTTATTATCATAGTCGGCAATAATGATGTCCCCACAAGGGTGCACAGCCACTCCTGTCGGCCGCTGCAACTGACCGGGAGACCTTCCCCGAATACCAAAACGGCTCTTGAACTGGCCATCAGTGGAAAACACCTATGAAGGTATTTTAAAAAGTATAACTTTCACAAAATGTGGTGATGATCATAATTTAGACAGGGAAGAATGAACATTCTCAATATGCCAAAAGGATATGGAAGACATGATTTAACCCCATAATTTTCAGGAGTTGAAGGTGTTTTTCAAGCCAAGCCACATTTGATAGCACATCAATTAAAAGTACTTTCAGTTCTTAACTTGATTTAGAAGAAAGCTAGAATGTAGATGTCAAATAAATTCATTACTAAACAGAAAAGCATATTATTTCATAATAACAAAGAAGTTTTGTTTGCTAAGATTTCTCTAGTATCTTCTATGCATGCTCTTCCATACATTTGGCCGATCCCACATCCTTTCATAAAGATCAGTACATTCAGAAATAACAACAAAAAGGTAATTGTACCTGTACACACTGATTATTGCTATCGGCTATTAATATTTTTCCATTTGTGGATGCAGCTACTCCCTGAAGATTTGTAAATTCTCCTTTGTTTCTCCCTTTGGTACCTAAAAAAAAGGTGGAAACAACCAAATTAGAGAAGAGCTTAGTAAAAAATTGATGAAACATAATTCCAAACCTTTAGGCCTCATAAGTTCTAAAGGAACTTATTTACTTCATTTCTATACCACTTTCCTTACCACCCCCCCCCCCCCCCCGGGGAGGGGACTCAAAGCAGTTTCCAAAATATATACAGCAAAATTCAATGCCTCACATAAAACCTAACATAAAACAATAACATACAGCTATCAATTAAATATTAAAATGCAATGACATTCAAACATTAAAATGTGGAGTTAAAAATATATTAATATAAGCATTAAAATCACACAATCCAACAATGCTAATCCAAGGCCATTCCAAATATCAATATCTATTGCACTTGATCCTGATTATTGCACATGATCTGAGTATAGATGACATCCAAATCTCTGGATGATCTCCCCCAGCGGCTTCATTTACATGTTAAACAATATGGGGGACAATACTGAACCCTGCAAGACCCCATGAGATAAAGGCTGTGGGGTTGAGCCAGCTGTCCTTCAACGCCACCTTCTGGGAACGGTCCTCCAGGAAGGACCAGAGCCACTATAAGACATTATCTCCAAGCCCTATTCCCACGAGGTGTCCCAGAAGGATACTGTGGTCAACTGTATCAAAGGCCGCTGAGAGATCCAGGAGAACCAACAGGGACACACTCCCCCTGTCAAGTTTCCTATGAAGATAATCTACTAAGGCAACCAAGGCTGTTTCAGTTCCATGACCCGGCTTATAGCCAGACTGCGCCAGATTCTTAGGAACCTAATTTTATATGTACATAAATATTTGTTCTGTTAAACCAGCTGAAAAGGGAGGGATGAACTCCTTGGTGTGTCCTTTGCTTAGTCACTTAAGTAACCAAACTAGTCATCCACCTCTCATTCTCCAGTCCACTCACTCTGATGAATTTCATATATTTATCTGCATGGAATTCTTTGTCACCTATAGCGACAATTGTTAAGTATGTGCATATACCTTCAAGACACCTTTCGACTTTAATCAATCCCATTCATTTTATAGGATTTTCTTAGGCAAGGAATATTCAGAGTTGGCTTTGCCAGTTCCTTCCTCTGAAATATGTACAAGGCTATAAATCTAAAGGGAAGGAGCTCTCTAACTTGATGAGAAAGAGAAACAGCATCAGCAATGGAAATAAGAACCAGGAATCTGTCTTAGAAAGCTTTGACTTCAAAGGGTGAGTATAAAACCAGAAAGAATCCCTAGAAGACATGAAAAAGTATTTGAGATAATCCATTTCAGTTCAGTGTCTTTGTAGCAGTGCCTATGACATTTACTGGCAGCTACTACCTCATTATTCACTAAGCTTGTAGTTCAGGAGGGATTTTTGCCTTTCTCTCTTTGTTTGGACTATAGGCCCCAATGTTATGCAAGTGAACTCACCAAGCTCAGTGGAGCATACTCTCAAGTAAGCAGTGGGTTACATAAGCACAAACTTGCAGTCTCGGTTCAGTGCAAAAAAACAGATTAATCCCATGGCTATTAACCGCAATCTATAAACCATGCTTTACTCCATCTCTCTCACCAAAGGAGCAATGGCCTGCTCCCCCATATATGTCCCCATATATCTACACCCTAAAAAAGTAAAACGAACAAAGCTATTTTGGAAATGTTTTGTTTTAAGATGTAACATTACAATCCATTTTGTATTTCCCTTTCTGTTGGAAATGGAAAAAGGACTCAGCTTGACTGCAGGTTTCAAATGTGGAATAATTTTGTGAAAATGATCACTAAACTTCAATGCTGATATTTTAATGTTCAGAGCAAATATCACTGTGCTTTTTATTGTATACTAGCTTGGGTACCTGCCACTGACCACGTTATTCGAAAAACTCAATTTTTTAATTGTACAAAATGCATAAGGTTGTGGATTAACTACAACTGACATAATGCCAAGTTAAACTCCATCAGAACTCAAAGTTTGTTATGTTGGCCAAGTTTGCTCTAGATGTGTCATTGGTGTGGTTCAGTGTGCTCTCTGGCTGTAGGGTAAACCACAACTCTCACTATGGTGAGCCAGTCCCCTCAAACCTCTCCAGTAGGTTTGAGTTATTTATGGGGTTCTGTGTGCCAAGTTTGGTTTAGGTCCATCACTGGTAAAGGTAACAGTTTTTCTGGTTGTGGGCGAACTACAACTCCCAGAAAGGAAAGTAAGTTCCCCCCAAGTCCCCCCCTTAAGAAACACAAAAATGTGTCCTTGGCATGTATACTTCCATTTTATTGCATTGTTCTGGGGGGAAAAAAGTAGTAGCTTGCATTTTTCTCCTTGCTTTGAAAATAGCGTTATTTACTGAATTATTTACTGAACCCTGGACAAAGGTAAATTTTCGTCTTTTTACAGTCAGCCACTGAGTCTTAACAGGACTCCATTTACTTCTAGGCAATCCTATTATACACCTCATGAGTTAATTAGTATTTTTATCTATATATCTAGACAAGCCTATTCAATCAAGATAGTTTATAGACACATGAAAATGACCCATTCTCAAAACAAACATTTTCTTCCAAATGTACTAATATATTATTAACTCTTGGGTTGTTGTTGTTATTATTATTAACTCTTGTTTGGTATAATTTTTGCCAAGAGCATTAATGCATTATGTCACAATGTTATGTCTTACCTTCATGTATATGAAAGTCTGTGCTTTGTCTAGAAAGTTGAGCTTCTGATGCTATTATGCCTTTTCCCACTAAATGGCCCTACACTATCTCTACATTAGTCTGAGGAACAGACAAAAGTTTGATAGATGACTGAATAAATGAAACTTCATTCTTCCTCCAAGTCCTAAATCAAACCCATTATTGTGTCTCCTACTGCTTAGTTTAGTACACCAGGAGCCCCCGGTGGTGCACTGGGTTAAACAGCTGAGCTGCTGAACTTGCTGACCAAAGAATCGGTGGTTTGAATCCAGGGAGTGGAGTGAGCTCCCGCTGTCAGCTCCAGCTTCTGTCAATCTAGCAGTTTGAAAACATGCACATGTGAATAGATCAATGTGAATGTTTTCAGCAGTTTAAACCAATGCGCCACCAGGGAACCAGACCTAGTATAGCTTTCTATATTTAACCGGCTACATTGCCTATAAATCTTCATTTCTTTAAAAAATCAGGTCTGATGTCGTTATCTAACTGATCTCAAAGCCTTCGACACTACATTGATCTCAAATTGTGCACACTGTGCTCCTTTGCATCTGGGAAACATGGATTTCAGGGCAATGTCTATAGGACAGGTAGCAGTGCATGTTCCAGAATCATAGTGGAAAATTGTTCCCTTGGCATAGCTAAACTCTATTCTGTAGTCAGTTTGTTCTGGAAGGATTTAGTCACTGAATGTGGAGAAATTATTAGTAGATATCAACATATTTACATATCAACATAAATCCTTTTATACATTATGACATTTTATTTGCTGTTTACTGATTTATAGCATATTTACAGCTTGGTGAAAACAATGTTCTTTTTTCTTTGTCAGCCAGAAATCTTTGATTCTTACAACCATGGATGGCATAAAAACGTGCTTGGAAATAGAACTTCCATTTAGAACTGTAATAATTCCTGATCACTGCTTTGAAACTATTGCATAAATGTTAAATGTATTGCTGAAGGCCTTGTTTGCTTTATAGTACATAGAAACATTTGCACGGAATACATACAGAGCAATTTAATTCTCAGAGCTTTGCCCACCAGTGCAGTTCTCAGAAATGTTGCCTTACTGTATATACTCCATATATGTAGAAGCTGGCATGAATTTTTCATTCTTATATCTACACAAAATTAGAAGTTCATAGTCACCTATCCCAATGACTTAGCATAAGAGAACCATATAGTTAAAGTGTGCCTGAGACCCATTAATATGTCTCATTTCCAATGCATTCATGGGGGGAAAAAACCATCTCTACACTAACACAGCCTTCCCCAAATTGGGGTTCTGGACCCATGGGGGGGGGGTCATGAGCAGGTGTCAGAGCAGTCATCAAAGGCCATTGGGAAACACAGTATTTTCTGTTGACAGTGGGGTTCTGTGTGGGAAGTTTGGCCCAATTCTGTCGCTTGGGCATATGGGGTATTTATGCCAAGTTTGGTCCAGATCCATCATTGTTTGATGGATCCACAGTGCTCTCTGTATGTAGGTGAACTACAACTCCAAAAATCAAGGTCAATATCCACCAAACTCTTCCATTATTTTCTGTTGGTCATGGGAGTTCTGTGTGCCAAGATTAGTTCAATTCAATTGAATTCTTTGATTGTAGGCTAACTATAAATGCCAAATGACAAAATCAATCCTGCCCCAACCCCACCAGTATTCAAATTTGGACATATCGGGTATTTGTGCCAAATTTGGTCCATTGAATGAAAATACATTCTGCATATCAGATATTTACACAACAATTCATAACAGTAGCAAAATTACAGTTATGAAGTAGCAACAAAAATAATTTTATGGTTGGGGGTCACCACCACATGAGGAACTGTATTAAGGGGTTGTGGCATGAGGAAGGTTGAGAAACACTGCATTAACAGATGTCTGTGGTATTGTAACTTGAACAACTTAACGTTTATTCTAAAATAAGACAGTTGGACACTGCAGTCCTGAACAAGAGAAGACATTTCTTACCTACTCTGAAGATCAAATCATCTTCAATGGGGTTCTCTTTCCTTTTGCCGGTGCTGTACATACTAGCCGGTCTTTTTACCGCCTTCTGCTTGACATGGCCACTGCCAGGAGACTTAACACGCCTTTTGACTCCTTCAGTCGTTGGGGACACATCCGCTGATCTGATTAACTTGAGTTTGAATGGGCTGCCCCTAATATGCTGATCATAGAGTCTCAGTGAAAGAGTAAAATCCCCTTCTTTCTGGACAGTATACAGAAATTCGTAAGTGCCATTTTTATTGTCAAGTATTTCTCCATCGGCTACACTCCCATCAGGGGTACTCAGCTCAGCAGTCAGATAAGCGTTCCCAGATTTACAGAGCTCACCATCCTTGTCCTTTGTAGTGATGGTGACTGACATAGGCTGTCCTATCACCGTCTGCTTCAGCCCTTCGCCGGTGGCCACTGTTTCAGAAGCAACAGCATTTGTGGTTAAAATAGTGCCAAGGTTATGAATGGACTTCTTCAGCCCATCTGTTTCCACTATGAAGTCCAGCTGATCATTTTCACGGGGCTGGAGTGGGAAATCTCTGTCGGCCAGATCGTTCAGCTTGTCGCTCATTTGCTTCTTGACAAGCAACACTTCTGTTTCCGTTCCATGGTTGAGTGCTTGGGCTGTAAAGTTACTACAACTCTTAATGTTTTCCTGTCCTTCCAAGAGGGTATCAAGTTGATTCTGCAAAACCTGACAGAAGAGAACACCACAATCAAACTATTCTATATTCAACCAACCTCAGACATTCCTCATCATAATAATGCATGATTCCACCTAAGCATTTGGAAGAACTTCCATGGTGGTAGGAGCTATTCGACACTGCAGTACTTTGCCTCAGAATTTGATGGAGTCTCCTTCTCTGACGGTTTTTAAACAGAGGCTATTTAGCTATCTATCAAAGCCTAACAAAAATATTATTTGTGTCTTAGTTTTTAAGCCTGTTCCTGGAGTTATTTGGGGCACTGATTCAGAAAATTGTATCAGCTCTAGTTTCTCAAAAACTAAAGCCGATAGGAGAAAACTATTGCCATTTTTGGAATCAGCATGTCAGATATACCCAGAAACAGGTTTAAAATTTGAGGCACCAAAATTTGGCCAGTGCTGTCTATTCCTGCATAGCAAAGGTTTGGACTAGAGGGTTGGACTCTGTGATTCAATGTCCACATAGGGCTTATAAACAATTTAATGAATTGTACATAGGGCAGAAATGAAATGAAACTAAATAATAACTGGTAAATGAAGCATAATAATAATAATAATAATAATAATAATAATAATAATAATAAAAATATGCTGTGGGACTTTCGAATCCAGACTGACAAAGTTTTGGAGCACAATACACCAGACATCACGATTGTGGAAAAGAAAAAAGTTTGGATTATTGATGTCACCATACTAGGTGACAGTCACACTGAGGAAAAACTTGGCCTTTATTAGGACCTCAAAATCGAACAGCAAAGGCTCTGGCATAAATCAGTACAGTTGGTCATTGGCACACTGGTGCCATGCCAAAAGATCTCAGCCAGTATTTGGAAACAATAAACATTGGCAAAATCACGATCTGTCAACTACAAAAGGCCACCTTACTTGGATCTGTGCGCATCATTCGAAAATACATCACACAGTCCTAGATGCTTAGGAAGTGTTCGACTTGTGATTTTGTGATACGAAATCTAGCATATAGATCTTGTTTGCTGTGACATGCTGTGTTTTTGTGTCAGAATAATAATAATAATAATAATAATAATAATAATAATGAACTAGGAAAGGCTAAGACGATGGAACGGTTGAGGATTTGAACAGCAAGACATAGTTTTTATAATTTTTATTATTCATTGCTTTTATGGTTTTTAAATGTATTGTGATTTTTTGCTTTTTATTAATGTATGCATTTTTATATATGGCATCTAATTGTTGGTGACTTGTACACCGCCCTGAGTCACCTTCGGGCGGATATGGGCGGGATACAAATGTTATAAATAAATAAATCATAAAGATTGAACTGCAAAGACGCTGGCACAAGCCAGTAAATGTGGTCCCAGGGGTGATCGGCACACTAGGTGCAGTGTCTAAAGACCTTGGCCTGCACTTAAACACAATCAGCACTGACAAAATTACCATCTGTCAGCTGCAAATTGGCACCCTATTGGGATCTGCATGCATTATACGCTGATACATCACACAGTCCTAGACACTTAGGAAGTGTCTGACATGTGATCCAATACAACAGCCACCATAGTGAGCTTGTTTGCTGTGTACTAATCTTATGTTTCAAATAATAATAATAATAACAACAACAACAACTTTATTTATATTCCACTCTATCTCCCCAAAGGGACTCATTAAAGATTCCAACAAACAAAAAAGGTAAACATTCACTGTCTCAGTACAACAACAAATACAAACATAATAGCCCAAAATAACCTCACATATGAATACAACTTATAACATGACATCCATAAATTACATAAAATGTACCCTATCAAAATTATATCTAACATAAAACTTGAATATTACAACATCTACATTAATTTACAGGAACCAACCAAGGTTCACAAACATAAGTGAGTTGATTGTGAGGCCAGTGATGTTAACTGAGCTAACAACAGTTAACAACAACAAGACCTACAACAAGCAACATTTAAAATGTACACCTGATAATAATGTTTTGTGACTTTTACATTTTTGCCAATCTGTTGGATACAATACATAAAGGAAATCATTTTTTTTCTACTGGGTGTCAGTTCAGGGACAAGCTGAATTAAACAGATGCATATCTAACTAAAATCTAAATCTGAACATAAGCTCTGTATGTGGGTTAAATGACCTACATTCTACGGGGCAGTTGGAATATATCACTAAGAATGAATTATTTTTCAGTGGTAAAGCTACATTCACATACTTTCTTTTCTTTATGGAAAAGGAAATTACTCTCCAATTGCTTTACTATGCTTATAATATGTCTGTTTACACGAGTGCTTGCATTTTAATTCATAGAACCATACAATAATAGAGTTGGGAAAGACCACATGGGCCATCTTGTCCAACCTGCTGCCATGCAAGAAAAGCACAATCAAAGTATCCCTGACAGATGGCCATCCAGCCTCTCCTTAAAAGTTTCCAAGGAATGAGCTTCCACCACACTCCAAGGCAGAGAGTTCCACTGTTGAATAGCTCATTTTAATACTACACATCACTTGCTTAATAAATTGACAGATACCCTATATACATATATTTGCAATTGGTTTATTGTCATATCGGCCTGCCTAAATAGGAGTATAGTGTCTAGATCCAGGGAAGTCATGCTACCCCTCTATTCTGCCTTGGACGGACCACACCTTGAATCACATTGTGTCCAATTCTGGGCACCACAATTTAAGGGACATGTTGACAAGCAGGAATGTTTCCAGAGGAGGGCTACTAAAATAATCAAGGGTCTGGAGAACAAGCCTTGTGATGAGCGGCTTAAAGAGATGGGCATGTTTAACCTGAAGAAGAGAAAGTTGAGAGGAGACACGACGGCCATGTATAAACATTTGAGGGGAAGTCATAGGGAGGGGGGAGGGAGCAAGCTTGTTTTCAGGAAAGGAGATTCTACCTGAACATTAGGAAGAACTTTCTGAGTGTGAGAGCAGTTCAGCAGTGGAACTCTCTGCCCCAGAGTAGAGGCTCCTTCTTTGGAGGCTTTTAAACAGAGGGTAGATGGCCATCTGTTGGGAGTGCTCTGAATGCAATTTTCCTGCTTCTTGGCAGGGGATTGGACTGGATGGCCCATGAGGTTTCTGCCAACTCAATAATTCTATGATTCTATCAACTTCATCTAGCAGCATGAGAGCATAATGAACAGTGATGTTTACGTTAGATTTCCTGGTGTCCACTCCAATACAATATGCCTAATACAAGCAGACCATAAAAAATTACCATGAACGGTGGCAATAATTTAATTTCCAGATTTCAAAATTGTCAGTTACATGAATATTACAAGGAATCCAAAAAGGAGTTCTTTTAATGCCACTACCAATCAATGTTCCTTTCAAACAAATTTTATGGTAATGCTTCTAAAGCCAAAACTGTTAAAGTTGACAGTTTTTGAATGATTAAAGTTAATTAGAAAATGCACAACTATATTAAGATTCGAAATTAACCTCATAGGGAACACAGACCACTTCCCAGTCAAACTCCCGCCAATCTTTTAGACATTATTACCCCCTGTGGCACCAGGCACCAATTAGTTAACAACCCGTACAATTTTACTGAGAAGAGCAAAAACTCTTACTTTATGTTTAAGGCCGTAATTGACTTCCAGTTCCATAAGTAGCACACTCTTGCGAACATTTAAAGTTTTCTGGAGTTCATCAAAAGTGGAATGAATTTCATCAACGATGTTGGTCTTTTGGTTGGTCAGCTGATGTATAATTTCAGATATGAAATGAAGTGCAGTATCTATCTCTGGAAGTCTGTTGGAAAACACAGGACAGTGAGTGATGTTCTAAATATGATTCCCTATAAATCATGTGACATAGAAACATTACTTTAGAATTCACTTCCAGCTTATTTTTGGCCAAATGTAATGTGGCACAACTTACCACAAGGCCAACACTTAGACTCTGCATCCACCATAGTTTCCTATACGTGATTTACAGAATCAGTGACTATTCAATCAAAGGAACAAAAACAGAGGTGCTAAGATTGGTAATTTTTCTACATCCATACCATGTGGAAACACACAGAGCCAGAAAGCCAGGAGCACTGATATTTTCCATGCCTTCACCTCATACTGCCACCAGACACTGATAATTTCAGTATTATCTCTTTCAAAAGATCGTAAATGACTGGCATTTGATAAGCATTTTTATATTTATTTTATTGTGTCAGAAGTGACTTGAGGAACTGTAAGTCACTTCTGATGTGAGAAAATTGGCTGTCTGCAAGAATGTTGCCCAGGGAATGCAGTGGTGTTTCACTATCCTGTGGGAGGTTCCTCTTATGTTTTCAGAAGGGAAGCTGGAGCTGACAGACAGGAGCTCACTCTGTCTCGCAGATTCAAACTAGAGACCTTCAGGTCAGCAGTCCAGCTGGCACAATGAGCCACCACAGCTCCTTATTTATTTTGCAATACAGATACATTTCCATACCTTTTGTTGACAGCATCTAATTGTGCTTGAAGCGAACCCTTGTGTTGTTCAACAACATCCTTGAGAGGCACTGTGGGATGCTCCGCATGCTCTCCTTCTGTACATTCCCGGCACATGGCTGTCTCACAAGACTGACAGTAAAATTCCATCAACTGGTTACACAGAAAGAGAGAGAGAGAGATCATAAATGTTGTTAAAATTCAGTCTTTGGCCACCTCTTGTCTAGCTTCTCAATAACGTACGCAAAAAGCGTGCTTCTAACTTTGAAGTGTGATCCATAAAATCCCTATGCTCTCCCAAGCCTCTTTGTTTTGCTGATGCTGCACATCCCAGAGGTTTTTTAAAAACCGAGAATATGGTTTGTTGCCAAAAATTCCACAGCAAACTGCTGAAGTGCAAAGAATTCATTGGGTGGCCAATATCATAGCCAATTTTGTTCCTTTCAGATTAGTGTTCACAGCTAATATCATATTAAATTCAAATGAAGTAATTTAAGGTTCATTTATACATAAAATATACATTTTATTTGCTTATAACGAATGCAGAGACTTCAATGAATTTCATAATGTCAAATATTACTTGATTTTTTTTTAAAAATCATTTTATATCTCTTAAATCTATTTTATAGATCTATAGTTAATTTTTATGCATATCATATAAAATGTTGCCAGCACTCGCTGGATTTAAGAAGAGAAAAATTCCTAGTACTTACTTGCATATGCTGTGCATGCATAGACATTTAAATTGGCCATCATTCCTAACTATCTTTTGTTAAATAAAGCCAAAATAATATACTTTGTTTCTCCTGCGAAATATGTAGTGAACACATTTAGTTGTGTAGCAGTTTGTCTTACAGTCATTATAGCATGTGCAATCCATTACAAGTAATTACAAAATTGGGAGGCGCTGGCGCTTCATTTCTAAAGTGTTTCTAAAATATACTTAGTGAAAAATTCATTACTATAACAAGAGTAACAAAATTTTGTTACTATTTCATTATAATAATTGCGCATAATTACTAAAATTGTGAGAACTTCAGGGGGTCCTTTTCCCCTCATTTTTCAAGCTATTGGAGTGAAACTTGCAACAATGATACAACACATTTACCACTGTTAGCCCACCACATTTCAGAATTTTTCACATATGCATAATATTTTGGGGGATTTTCAAAGTCTTTATTAACAGCATTCTTTAAAAAATTACAAGAGCGATCTACTTGAATTTTATATACAATGCACAGGATAAACAGGGCATCATTACCCAGAAGTTTCAAAAAGATTCCTCCATCTATGAATTTTTGGGGATTTTTAAAAACACTTAACCCCCCTTTAAAAAGCCACAACCACAATCACCTTAAATGTCTGTCTAACAATATGACACACAATTAACCATAGAACTTCAACATAGGACAGAATTATAGTATTACTTACTTACTTTAGTCCTCTTTGCAGATTCAGTAATGTTATGTATTATTATTGGACTGAATCTAAACAGCTGGCTGCTGCAGCCCTCATTGGGTGCTGACCACTGCATTCTGGGAGATGTAGTTTAGGGCAGGGCCTTTTGCATTCCCTGCCACAAGGGACCTCAACTTCCCAAACTACTTTTAAGATGGCTGTGTTCTAACATTAACTATGCTAGTCCCATCCACAGTGTCTCCTTATGACGATCGGACCAAAGAAAAAGAGGGGTTGGTTTTTATGTTCTCTTGGATTTACCAAAGTTGATTAATGCTTATACTGAAAATTAAACTGACCTTAGGAGGCATCCAAATGTTACAGAATCTTAACGAAAATTATTGGTGAGTGTTTCAATTTCTAAATCTCCCCCACCTTTCCTGTATGTTTCTAATATTGATTTGTATGCATAAATTTAATGAATTTGATTTGAAATACGAATTAAAAACAAAATTATGCATATGCCTATATAGTCTTTGAAAATGATTCAGTGATTTTTTATACTGTACAGAATTAACATCTAAGATTAAAAAATAGTTATATAGGGTATAGATGTTCAAGGATTACTTATAGTATTACCCTATGTGTTTCTACTCAGAAATAAGGTCCCTTTGAGTTCAATTGGGCTTTCATTCAATTGGGTAAATGTTGAAATACAGATTTTGGCTAAAATCTTATAAAACCTATCTCGCGTAAATCTTCATTGAGCTTACTTCTGAGTAGATATGCACAGAATTGCTCTATTTATTTACAACATTTGCTTTTATTTAATGAAAAGCACATTCAGTTCTGGTACTAATAATTAATACCAGGGCTCAGATTTTTTTTGTTAATGTCAAGTTGATAGATTTGGGGATTTTAATTGTTTAAAAAAACACACACATACAGGACAAAACACTGATATCCTAGCAGCTTGAAGTCTACCCACCACTCTCCTACACAACTTAGGCTACTGGAAATGCCACAGATATACTTCTCACTATTCAGCTTTATATAAAACTCTCGTTTCTTGTGTTTGAGGATTTTGTGCCACTTCGCAAACGCCTAAACTAAAGCATTAGTGACTCATTCAGGAATAACAGCAGAATAGCACTGGGTTTTACATATAATGAGGCCCATGTTTTTAGCACTTACAGGATTTAAGAAGAGGAAATGTGTGCTGCTTAAACTGACATTTACAAGTTTACTAGAGGGAGAACACTGGTTATTTGTGAAGTCTGGACAGTGTACATTAAAAGGGATTGCATAGAAAGAGCGGGCTACAAAAACCGATTAATAAGAAGCTTTTCATCTGACAGAGGATGCAATATTTTTTCTGGAATAACACTGTGCATATGTCAAGGCTACAACCTTAACTAAAGAAGCTTTAAAGACCTCACTAAAGACAAGTTTAACATGATGTCTCCCTGTTGAGGATTTTCTTTAACACACACGAATAGCTGTCAGATAACGTGCCACAGACTCTTTGTTCGAGGCCTCTCTCTGATTCTTGCTCAAGGTAGAACATCTATTTCAGTGGTTCCCAACTTGTGGTCCATGGACCACCAGTGGTCCCCAAGAACTAGAATATGGGGCACGGCCTCACTGTTACTACACTGTTGCAATGAGAGAGACTGGGCTCGCGAAACCCTCTTATAGTGCCGAGGCAACAGGGATGTTGGGAGGGGAGAGGCTGACTACCCACGAAAGGCGCAACAACAAGCCTCCCAACTGCTGTTTCTGCTCCTCCTCCCTCTCCCTGAGCAGAGCCGTCCCATATGGCACATGGAAGTGCACCTTAGTGTCTTTGTTTTTAGGACTGTTCCTGGTTATTTGGGGTGTTGATTCAGAAAAGTTCATTGGATAGACCACATCAGCTCTAGATTATTAAATATGGTTTTCTGTGGGGAGCAGATGGCGACTACTGGATGGCATATGTTCTTATTTATTATTTATTTATTATTTCAAACATTTTTACCCCGCCCTTCTCAACCCCTAGGGGGACTCAGGGCGGCTTCCAATTGGCAATAATTCAATGCCACATCATAAAATACAAAATAGCAAATATAACAATTAAAAACATGAATAATAATAATAATAATACTTTATTTATACCCCGCTACCATCTCCCCAAGGGACTCGGTGTGGCTTACATGAGGCCGAGCCCAAACACAACAATACAAGCAATAATAACAACAATACAAGCAATTAAAAAACATAGACAATAAAATTCACAACATTATCAATAAGATTAAACAGTATACTTACGATTAAATTTAGCTATTGCCAGTCTGGTGGCTATTTATCTAGCCATATCCTAATGATTACTCCACTTAACTTATCCAAATCCACTTCCAAGCCATAGTCAAACATTATCAATTGTCCTTTAACCTAATTGCCCGAAGGCCTGGTCCCACAACCACATTTTTACCTTCTTTCTAAAGCTATATCAGAAACTAGAGCTGATGTGGTCAATCCAATGCAATTTTCTGAATCAGCACCCCAAATAACCAAACTGAATCTAAAATTGACCAAAAATTGATTTTTAACTCTTTTGGTAGTAATAATGGAGAGTGGTCCCTGGTCAACGTGGTCCCTGGTCAAAAAAAAGGTTGGGAAACACTGATCTATTTGGATTGGTTTAGTGGACTTATAATATTTCAGAGAGAAAGATGTTCATTTTAAGGTCCTAAAACACAATTTGGACAACAACCCTTCAAAATAAAAGACCGCTCTTTAAAAAGGAAAAAAAAAACACCAATTCAATTGAAAGGAGAGTGTCAGCAAACTGTCTAGATCAGTGGTTCTCAACCAGCGATCCCCAGATGTTTTTGGCCTTCAACTCCCAGAAATCCTAACAGCTGGTAAACTGGCTGGGATTTCTGGGAGTTGTAGGCCAAAAACATCTCGGGACCCCAGGTTGAGAACCACTGCTCTAGATCATGTTCTCCAAAATGAAGATGCCGTTGACAAAATCAACAAAAGCAGACTTTAAGAATAAACGTAAATGAAGGTAAAATCTGATTTATCATTTATCCAGATCATATGCAGAAGACAAACCTCTGCTCAACGTGTTTACAATGCTGTGGTGGGAGTGTTGGCTAACAATACTCAATGATTTTAAAGACGTGTTAAGTGTTGCATAAACGGAAGCAATCCATTCCAATGAGTGAAAGAGCATAAGGAACTTGTTAGATGGGGCAGTGTAGAGCACTGTGCACTACATCTACAAGGCAAAATAATAATATGAAATAGGACTTTTTGGAAGATACCCAGGCAATTCCAACAGTAAGAAGAAATCGAAAAATGTGCTTTCAATATGGGTCTAGTCATTCCCTGACACTATAGAACTTTTCCGTTTCATGTTGGCCACAAGCTGTATTACTTTCTTGTGCCTGAGAATTTTTGCATGCCAAATATATAATTTTATATTAAAAAAGCTTCTTAATTATGTCAGGCAATCATTCTAATCTTCATATTGCTCTGATGCTTCCTGAATCCAAGATAGTTCTCATTGATGTAATGAACAACAAAGCCAACCTGCCAGCTCAAGTGGATAACGCAATAACTCAGACCATATGCTCCATTTATTCCCAAGGCCCTTTGTTAGTGTATGTGTTTTATCCAGATTTTTGCCCCTAGTTGTCATAACTGGAGAACAATGTAATTGAGACCTGTTTCATCCAAACTGGGTTTATACCATAGTATCTAATCTGTTGTCTGAAAGGAACATTATCACAGATCAAACAAGCTTCACACAATCTGCTGTGAAAAGAGCTGTTTCCATTTGCAGATTTTTTTTTTGGAAATCTGATTCCTCTATCTGGAGATGTTTTGCTTTGCAGACACCTTCTGCACTACACCTGCTCCCTCCCTCAAACACATTACATAACAATCTGCATTGCTAAGACTAATGATAGGAATGGACTCCCAACTGTGGCAGGAAGAGAAAGTAATGGTTTGCCCTCTTTCACTGAGCCTAATCATGCATAGATATGGCAGAAAAGAACAAAAGAAACATTACTCTTTCAGATCATGATCATTTATTTTCTCTTAAACAAAATGATTTCATTTACCTTACTAAACTCTAGAACATTAGTATTTTAGCTTAGTAACAGTGAAGACACATTACTCATCATCTCAATTAATTCCATATTCTTCAGTGCAAAATGAAAATACAACCAAAGGATGCAAAACTATGCTCCCAAAGAGTTAATCTAATAATGCACACAAATTTGTCTACACATACTCTGTTCCACATGGTTTACACAGTCAAAGATTGAAACAAAAGCATAAAATCTATCAGGCTAATGATAATATGCTTACAGGAGTACAAATCTTTAATCCAGTGGTCCCTAATTTTAATCCTAGAATTTACTTGAAGCCATATAACATACTATTTTCAATAATCCATTTTATAAGAAGCTACTCCACTTACATTTCCTTCATGATTCGGGCAGGAAAGTGGTTTCCCTGCAGCAACAGCTGTGACAGTCTCCAAGATGGAAGACTCCTCAATGCTATTTTCTGGAGTTCGCTGCAGGACATCCATCAGGTTGGTAATGAAGAAATTGTTCTGAAGTGCAGAAACCCCTTTCTCTGGCAGAATGGATGTCTGGCGGCACACTGGGCAAGAAAGAGTTAAGCTGTGGGCTGGAATGTAATTCTGTAGGCACCTAATGAGAATGGTAAAAAGATAAGCAGATATCAGAACAGAAGAGAAATCTCCTACAACATTACTTATTCATAGGAGAAAAAGGGAGGAATCCATTAGCACTCTTGGCCATATTCACATTTTGCAAACTCACAGTAGAGTGGAGAACACCGTATTGCCAATCCATTCAAACATTTACATTCTGCAAGAAGCATCCTCCAGCAATCATGCAAAATATAATAGTAACAAAACAATGAGATAGATAAGGTTCCCCTCACCCCGTTTTTTCCTCTAATTCCTTTTGGTGCATGAAATGCCTTTCGAAAAACTTACAATCATGAGAAACAAATACTGTAGTATACATTATAGACCACAATGACATAGGTGAACATTTCAAACCTACTGCCTCATACTAAGCCAGACGATTGGTTCATCTAGTCTAGCTTTGTTTATTTTACAATCAAGGGTTTTAGGCAGTGGTAGCTCATGGTTTCCATCTCAATTGGGTGACAAAGGCTTTAAGGTAGTATCATAAAGAAACTCTCCAAGGTGCTGAACCCAGTATAGGCCCAGCAATCAAGATACAGTAGGTGCAGTTTGATCAATAGTTTCTTTAATGCTAGCAAAAGTGTGGAATGGATTCCCTGTACAGTTGCCATGGGAAGCACCAACTGGTTTCATCAATTTTCTTTTAATTGTCAAGAACACAAATTAAACCCATATGTCAAATCATGTGCTCTACTACACCATTCATCAAGTCAGAATGGAGCATGAGAAAAGTTCTGGTGCTTATTCAAATACAATCCTTTGGTTCCGGCTTATATCTGTAGCAGTTCTGTCATCATCAGATAAATTAGCAGCTCATCATTTCTTGATAGGTCAGTTCATAATCCCTTCATGTGCATTACAATTACAACCAACATACTGTTTCTAACAATATTCATACACCTACAAAGCTTGAAAAATTAGTGTAATCTCTAACAGAGTGCAAAGCATTATTATTCATGCATTTGACATTACTTCCTAGTGCTTTTTAGCCAGTCATGGCTCATGAGCAGCTGATACAGTTGACTTGTTGGAAGACTATTACAAGGTCCACGATGAAGATCCATTTAATGAGCAAACTCTTCAGGCAGCACAGAGTTTTTTATCCTCCATATTTGAAGCCAAGAATGACAGTGGATAAAGTTGATAACAGAAGTCAATATGGGCAAGAGCAGTCAGAAGGCATGGAGGCTGTTAAGGCAGCTGAGCAATGATCCATCACAAACTAATACCCATGCCAACATAAAGGCAGACCAGATAGCACATCAACTTCTGAGGAATAGGAAACCCAACCTTGCCACCAAACTAGGAAAGAAACCAATAGTCAGACAGTCAGAAAATGAGAACAACAACTTTCATGAACCTTTTACATCTACCAAATTGTAGACAGCTCTCAATAAAAGTAAAAATGGCAATAGATCATCCAGCAGCTGGCCTGGATGATCTACAGATGGAACAAATTAAGAACTTTGCCCCAAAAGCAAAGTGCTGGCTGCTGAAGCTGATGAGCAACTGCATTACATCCTGTCAGACCCCTAAAATCAAGAGGAAAGCAAGAGTCATAGCCATTTTAAAACCAGGCAAAGACTGCTATACATTGCACCATGTTATAACAGTGGATGTGGCTCTTAATGAGATATGCTGCATTATCACAGGATGTCTACGCTCACATCACTGGAGAAATTATACTGTTTAGCTGGTCTGCACCACCTGATATTCATTGGGAAGTAGCAGCCAATAACGAAAGGACCAAGGCAGTTGCATCCTTGGCCCATCCTCTCTTTTGATATCAGCCAGTGTGCCAACGGCTTAAATCAAGAAACAGTTTCCTAAGATTGAGAGAGGTTCTAGCAGGAACATCTCAGCAAGCGTGAATCCAAAAGTGGCAGGTTAAAACCCAGCACCTTAATCAGTGGCTGAGACTGGATGAGAAACTCCCTCCCGGGCACACAGAATATTGAATGACCTGGAAAGCACTGAACAGGTTGCTCTCTGGCACCACAAGATGCTGAGCTAACCTTAAGAAATGGGGCTACAAACTGGAGTCCACAACATGCGAGTGTCGAGAAGAGCAAACCAGAGATCACCTACTAAAATGCAACCTGAGCCCTGCCACATGCACAATGGAGAACCTTCTCACACCAGAGGCACTCCAAGTAGCCAACTTCTGGTCAAAAGACATTTAGCATAATGTCAAGTTTTTAAACTTTGTTTGCTTTTTAAAATGCATTTTATAAATTCACTTTTGACAGAATAAATAAATAATCTGACAACACATAAGGGCCCAACTTTTGTTTCCAGTTTCCAACTAATTCTGCCTGTGGTGAATCAACTGGGTGTATTTGTTTAGACTTGACCTGGATGTTAGTCACTGCTACACATGTTGAGCATTTCCATTGGCATGTCAAAAGTTGAAGTCAGACTAAACTCAGCTAATTGCTTCAAATACATATGGCTCCTTCAGGCGGAGATGGCTTCTAAAATTCTAAAGGGATGATGAGGGGAAGACACTGAATTTAAAAGCAAAAATATAGTGAGTTGCACTTTGGCATTCAATTTAAAAATTCAGAGAAAAGGGTGGCAAGAGAAAAAGAGAAAGTGCCTTAAAAGGGAAAAAAACACACTTAGCACTTTTACAAGCAATGTAAAAAAAAAAAGAGCCCATAGCAACAATGAGACACAGCAGATGAAGCATTCCTCAAAAAATCATTTTAAAAAGAACACCAGAAGAAGGCAACAGGATATAAACAGTGGAAAGATCATTTGCAATTTTATGTAGCAATGCAGTTCTCATTTTTTGGGATGACTTTTATGTAATGTTCCTGGCCTGCACAGGAAATGCACAGAAATGCAGTACAAGAAAAAAGGGACTTGCTCATTGTTTGCATACTTTATACCTGTTCAAGGTAAAAAATGGCAAAAGAACATAATATTTGCAGATAATTATGACAACATTGACCAGACCAACCATTTCTCTGATATCAAATCTTGTATTTACTATTGTGCAGAATTACAGAGATTCATTTTGCTGGCACAGGGTGCAGCACTGCGTATACAAAGCACTGGACTCATCTTGTATATCCCTGGATGCTCTCACTCTGACATATGTTCTTTCACTTTTCCAAGTTCAGCAGGAAAAAGTTTAAATAGGCTTTAATGAAGGTGGCAACTTTGCATGATCTGGAAGTCACCCTGATAATGCAGGTTTCTTTGTCATGTGCTATATAAATACTATGTTTGGACTAAAATTCCAGCCTAAGTCCCCATGGAGAGGTAGAGCGGGACACAAATAAAGTATTATTATTATTATTATTATTATTATTATTATTATTATTATTAAAACACAACAAGATTAGTACATAGCAAACAAGATCACTATGCCGGCTGTTGTATTGGATCACACATCGGACACTTTCCAAGTGTCTAGGACTATGTGATGTATCGGCGAATAATGTGTGCAGATCCCAGTAGGGTGGCCTTTTGCAGCTGACAGATGGTAATTTTGTCAGTGCCGATTGTGTTTAAGTGCAGGTCAAGGTCTTTAGGCACTTAACCCAGTGTGCTGATCACCACTGAGACCACCTTGACTGGCTTGTGCCAGATATTACTGTTGTTGTTGTTCTCAGACTCTCCCCACCCATCATCATGATCCATGTAGATCCAAGTTGTAGCTTTTGTAGTCCAAGGAAGATCATTTCACTATTCTCAGGTTGTATGTATACTTCTAGATGAAGCATTGAAAAGTTGAAGCTTAAGTGTGCAAGGGATAATGGTTGTTCCCATGTCCAAGTTAGTTGAGAACCAAATACTACTCATTCTCATAGAAGTTGTTTCCCAGCTAAAACATGCTTCGATTTGCAGATTAAATTCAGTTCAATGGGGTTGCCAAAAATTATTGTGCCTTATCCTATGTGGATGTACTGATAAGCAAAGGTCATTTTTTTAGGGAGTCGGTCACAACGAAAAGAAAGTTTACTGAAACAGAACTGTCAAATCCCAGATTTCTTTTGCAGTTTTCTCAATGAATCTCATTTTTTCTTTTAAGTTAAAGTAATGCAAAGGTATTTTATCCATTGATCCAGTAAACAGTCCCATTTATTATTCATTAATTCATATTTTCATGTTTCAATTGGATGAAGGCTCATTATTAATCAAACATAACAGCAGCTATCTGAAAACAGATAATTATGAATTTCAAACAAACCTATCATAGGTAAGGGTCAGAGGAATGGAAACAATTCTTACCTCTCACAGAAAGTGTGCAGACAGGGGAGTACCTTGGGGTTCTTGTAGCGGTCCAGGCATATGCTGCAGATCAGAAACTGTTTGTCAATCTGACGCACCACAGGACTTGGGATGTTGGAGCCTTCACTGGCCATCCTAGACCACTGACATGTGGGTCCTGTTCCTTTTTACCCTGCACGCTGCTGAAAGATTTTAAAGAAACAACAACAAAGCTTTAGAAATGAATAAAATACATTTCTGTTAACAATAAACCTCAAAGCTGGATGCCTCAAGGCCATCTGGGCTGAGGCTGGTGAAGCTGGAGCTCAACATCACCAGGAATACCAAAGACATCTTACCATTTCTATAAATTTTGGTTTATCAAAGTCTAGTAGGATGGTGAACATTGCCTTATTTTATATTCAATAATTCATTATACATATTCATATTGCATCAAAAAGCACTGTCACGAAGCTTCTAGACATATTTCCATCTGGGAAGTCATTGAGTTGAAAGCTGCTTAGCTAGGAGTAAAAAAAAGCCTATCAAAATACTCTGCTTACATAACAAGCAGACAGATGTTCATTTATGGTGCTCAAAAATGCTATCCGGCTCTTGATATGCAAACTCTTGCTCCCTGGATAGGTTTTTTGATTGGGAGAAGACAGGAAATGACAACCTATACATCAAAGTCTGTCAACTCTCTACCAAGAGACTTGTAGCCCCTTGTGACATCCTGAAGAATATGCCTAGTAGTGTCATTGATTTCCATGTAGACCAAAAGGAAGGGGTAAGGTCAGTGGGCTTGACAAGTATTATCAATCTCTATTACATCACATTTTTTTGCCCCAGAGAGACAGTACACCTCTTGAGAGGATACTCCACCACAGACATCAGAAGAACTGCAAGGCCAAGAACAAGCCATGAGAGTAAAGACAAAGATCCACCCAGAGGAACAGTGTTCTTACCATATATCAAGGGAACCACTGACCACATAGGGAAGCTGATGAGGAAACACAATCCACAGACTCACTAAGAAAATCCAACAATGCTATGTTCAGCAAGGGGCAAGAGGGATCTTCTCATTTCTGCAGGAGTCTACCGTATACCATGCAGCTGTGGACAAGTCTACATAGGGACTACCAAATGCAGCACCCAAACACAAATCAAGTAACATGAAAGGCATTGCAGACTACATCAACCAGAGAAGTCAGCCATAGCAGAGCACCTGATGAACCAACCTGGGCACAGCATATTATTTGAGAACACAGAAATGCTGGACCACTCTTAACAACCACCATGTCAGGCTACACAGAGAAGCCATTGAAATCCACAATCATGCGGACAATTTCAACAGAAAGAAGAAAATGATGAAAATGCACAAAATCTGGCTAGCAGTATTAAAAAATCTCTAAAGTCAGGACAGTAAATAAAGAGCAATACTCAAAAAGCAGGGGAATTCCAGGCAAGAATCAATCAGGGCCTCCCAACAAAGGATTCCTCAAGGCAGCAACCAGTCAGGCCTTGAAGCTGCAAGGCCATTAATTGCTAATCAAGGTGGCCAATTGCAACATTCACACTTGCCTCAAGCAGACAAGGGTTCTTTCTTCCACCCTGGACATTCCACAGATATATAAACCTCACTTGCCTAGTTTCCAACAGACCCCACAACTTCTGAGGATGCCTGCCACAGATGTGGACAAAACGTCAGGAGAGAATGCTTCTGGAACATGGCCATACAGCCTAGAAAACTCACATCAACCCAATGATCTAATAGTACCAATTTTGGTTTTCAGGGTTACAGACCATATAATATTCAGCATCCTAAATCAAACCCAGATTGTATTCAAAGGGGAAACAGGCAGCTGACCAGCTCTTTCTAGTTTGCTAGGCTTCATGAACCATGGAACTCGTAGGTTTCCATGTTGCTTAGTTCTCAGTATGCAGCTCTTTGTTATACAGGATATGCTTTCTTAAAACCAAACTAAGCTCAGTTTATGAGACTTGTATTCAAATAGCTTTGTGGCATATATATTTATACTAGAAAATGTACTACTGCACATATAATAAAGAGAAACATGTCAAAGAGATTCTGAACTCTGGGAAATTGACTTTTGATAAGCAGATGTATTGTCTTCACATATCAGTACTAACTGACCATTTAAAGACCTGAAAGGCCTATATTACATTATTTCCTTGAAAATTTAGGGCAGAGGTCACAATTTGCATCCTTCTGGATTCCATTCCATTCCATATCACTCCCACAACTGTGTAAATATACTTCATATCTTAGCATTTATCATATCTCTACATCATACAACGAAGTGGGTTTATATTCATGAAAGCTCATGCAAAAATAAAACCCAGTTAGTCTTAAAGGTGCTATCACATTTCTTTTTATTTTCTCTTTCTACTTCATCACACTAGAGAAAAAACCCACTGAACATCCAGTTTCTGCCTCCTGCAGAATTCTGGGGTTTGTAGTTTAGTGAGGCTGTTAACGGCTCCTCCCTAAACTACCCCCAAGAATTCTGGAGGAGGCAGAAACTGGATTTTAAGTGGATTTTTTCCTCTATCATGATGAAGTGATTTGTTTCATCTTCCTTTTTATGCTGCAAGAAACTAACACACCTACTTCTCTGAAAACAATCCAAATAAATTTGGTGAAGATTGCAAGAAAACTAAGTTCTCGAGTCTACTCAAAAGGCAGCATTCATAAAATTTTCTCAATCACATTTGAAGGAACATGCCATGGTCTATGTATGATGCGCTTCCCTTATATGTTTAGCTTTATAGCAGTGGTTCTCAACCTGTGGCTCGCAGCCTAGCATAGCAGTGGGCTGCGAGAACTAAAATCCAGTTCGTGAATCTCGTTCCTCTTTATTTTATTTTATTTCCACTCCTTTCCACAGAGTTAACCAGCCCCGCCCCTTGTAGTACTAATGTTTGAAAGTGGTCCCTGGTCAAAGTGGGCCTTGGTCCAAGTGGACCTTGCTCAAAAAAAGGTTGGGAACCACTGCTTTTTAGGTTGCTTTCTGGACTAATCAAAACATTGTTTGCTTTTTAATCCAGCTGTACAATTTATGTAAGCCCTTGCGTGGAGGTTTGACCAAATCCATTATTATTATTTATTATTATTTACAGCATTTATATTCTGCCCTTCTCAATCCACAGGGGACTCAGGGCGGATCACATATATATGCAAACATTCAATGACATAGACACACAACATATATAGACAGACACACAGAGGCTATTTAACTTTCTAGCTTCATGAGGGTGTTTTTGAATTCCAGCCACTGGGGGGGGGGGAGGGGCTGTCGCTTCACTGTCCACTTGTGACACTGATGGAGTACTTCCTCATTCTTTTGCATGCTGCTGGAAATTTTTATGATGTCGTAAATTAGTTAATTTAGCCTCCCTGCATAAGCGGTACCTAAATTTCCTACTTGACAGATGCAACTGTCTTTCGGGCTGCAAAGGTCGACAGCAAGCTAGACAAATGATTGGGTGCTTACTCCAATCTAGGATGGCTTCGAACTCATGACTTTTTGGTCAGTAGTGTGCCACAACCCAGTCCAATCCTCACAACTTCTGAGGATGCTTGCCATAGATGCAGGCGAAAAATCAGGAGAGAATGCTCTAGAACATGGCCATATAGCCCGGAAAACCTACAACAACCCAGTGATTCCAACCATGAAAGCCTTCAACAATAATAATCCATGTAGTTCGCTACCATGTGAATTTATTCCTCTCAAGAAATTCTATTGTACTACTATATTGGATCCTCAATGAAAGTTTTATTTCATTGAATCACTTGGAAAGTACATATATAATTTAATGAGTCATCAAGACATAGTAAATCCAAAAAAGGACAATGGACTAAGGAAAGGTTAAACCAAGCAGGCAAAATTTTCAATTCAAACCTATATGGAAACTACTATCTCACAGCAGGGAAGCCAATTCCTTTCACTCATTTTTAAGAATGGTCAGGAAGGGTGACACAGTTACAATTTGGATGAATAAATATACTCCGAACTGTATATACAGTTGCCTCCAGGCAAATCCACTTAGTAAAACTAAGGGCTTTTTAATATCTAGGAGCCTTTGATGGGAGATCAATACTTGGATTAGAAAGCCCTCCAGAAAATGACATCATCTTGATTCTTTCTAGTGTGCTTTATGTATAAAGCTACAGAAAAACATTAATAGATTTTAAAAAATAATCAATATGGATGTTATGATGAGGAAAATAAATGCACTGTGGGTCTATTCATGTAACACACACAGAAATCCCCTAAAACCATGAGGACATGTATATCCATAAATAAAGAAATCTCTAGTGTGTGCAGCCACACCCATCTGAACTGAACTCATAAAGGAGGACATAAAGAAGTGTTCTACACAACGGTAGCAGTCAATTTTATCAATGCTTCTACAGAATGGACCCAAAAGTATAAATATGATTGATGGCTTATTCAAATGTATAGGGTTTTGAAATAAAGGGTGTGCTCCACCCAAGCAGAGCTATGATTAGACTCCAAAAAGACCAGACTGAACAGCCTTCCACTTATCAATGATTCACAGAAGCTTGAGGGTCTAACACATGCATTATGAATTAATTGGAGCAACATTTGCAGTGCCTCAAATCTATAGACAAGGATGGGGACTCCTGCTATAGAAATGTGGCTCCAAAATGGGAATTTTGAAGCTGTAAAAATCGGTAGAATTCCACAAGCACAGCAGTCTGGAGAAACAGCCCTTGCCCTTGAAAAGAGGCTAGGACCAAAATCCTTTTTTGCCAGAATCAGCACTAATCCATTTCCAAAAATACACAAGCAAATAATTTCTTTAGAAATCAATTAGGGAAAGCTCTCCATCTCCCTCCTTGCTCATACACACAGAGAGCACAAAAGGTTTTTTTGCAAAAACATCTGCACTTTCCCATATTATTTTAGCCAGCTTGGTTCCCTTATTATTCAAAGCACTTACCTAACCCCAATGCATACAGCATTATTAATCAAATAAGAAAACACAGCGGGGAGCTGCGACAGGAGCAAAAAGACATTCCCCCCTACCAGCTACCAGACAGACGCAACACTGAACAAACACAAACGTTCAAGACGTACCCATCTTCCCGGAAAAGAGCTTTAATCAACGCAGCGGCAAGTAAAAAAAAATCCTTTCCAGGACAGAGTCACGTCCCGCAGGAGCCAACCATAATGACAGTATATGACAGCAAGACTGAAAAAGCCTCGTATGTGAAACTGCAAGAGGAGAGCCACTGCTGTACAGTTGCTAGGACAGATCTAGCATGTCCCTGGCTCTAGGTAACAATGCTCTTACTCCATGCAGAGAATCATGGAGGCAATGGAAAGAGGCCCAGGCAAGCTGTCATTCATTCCTACACACGCACACCCTCCAGGTCACTGACAAGTGGGAGACCACTGAAAGGATTCCAGCCAATCAATGGGTATTGAGTACATCTTTTTGACTCAACCCTGTGCTGAAAAGACTGCAGCAAAGCGTGCAAGGGATTGTGGGATAGGGATGCAGCAGAGAGCTGCAATGAGATTTGCTGGGTGGATTTCTTTCCCTTCCCCTTTCCTAGCCAGCAATCAGCTGTTTCAAGGCAGAGTGATGCCTCGCTGAATTTCACCACTGGAATGTTTTTATAGGATTAGCAAGCAGCCTGCTCTGATGCCAGAAGACACATGTAAGTATGGATTCAATACTAGCGGTCTGATTCCACATGCATTTACCTGAAAGGAGGTAGTTTGGAAAAGTCACATTTCTTTTTGGACTATCAACATTTCCAAAGCACCATGGGCTCTGGCTATAATGGATAAGGATGCTCAGAACTGCAGTCCAAAATAGAAACTTTTCCAACTCAGGAATCGATTCTAACAGAACTTGTTAAATGAAAATGGGAGCAGAGAAAACTCTACGTGTCATCTCCAAGGGAACATTTATACTGTGAAATTAATGCATTTTGACATCACTTTAATTCACATGGCTCAATGCTGTGGATTTATGCAAATTGTAGTTTTACCAGGACCTTAGCCTTCTCTGTCAAAGAGTGCCGGTGCCTCACCAAACTAGCATTGAAGCATGGCAGTTAAAGTGGTGTCGAACTGCATTAATTCTACAGTGTAGATCAGGGGTCCTCAAACTTTTTAAACAGAGGGCCAGGTCACAATCCCTCAAACTGTTGGAGGGCCGGATTATAATTTGAAAAAAGCATGAATGAATTCCTATGCACACTGCAAATATCTTATTTGTAGTGCAAAAAAAAAAAACACTTTAAAACAATACAAAATGAAGAACAATTTTAACAAATATAAATTTATTAGTATTTAATGGGAAGTGTGGGCCTGCTTTTGGCTGATGAGATAGGATTGTTGTTGTGGTTGTGTGCTTTCCAGTAGTTTCAGACAGGTTGATCCTGAGCGAGGGCTGGGTAAATGACCTTGGAGGGCCTCATCCGGCCCTTGGGCCTTAGTTTGAGGACCCCTGGTGTAGATCATGCATGGGCAAACTTTTTTGCCTTYGGGCCACATTGTGGGCCTGGCTGAGAGGGCCAGGCCAGGCCAGGCGGGAAGMCAGCCAGGCAAGTGGGGTGGGCCTGGGAGGGGGTGGGGCCAGGAGGGGCGGAGCAGGGTCTGGCTCATCCCCTCCTCCCACGATCTTTGGGTTTTCCTCTCAACATTATGTGGGAGGAGGGCAAGACAGGCAATAACTGAGAGAACTTAGCTACTACATGCTTCCTCTCAGCAAAAGGACGAAGCTATTCACACTATCCTCATTCCAGACATGCGGTGGCTGAGAGAACTCCAGAGGGCTCTCATCTGTTGCATGCCTTCCTTCCCCTTCCTTTCTGCATAAGGATACGCAGGTTACTGTATCTTTATGCCAAGAGGACAGGGAAATAGAGGAGGGCCTGAGATAAGCACCTAGGGGGCTGCTTCCGGTCCCAGGGCCTTAGTTTGCCCATGCTTGGTGTAGATGCACCTGAAGTTATTCATATTTTAATAATGAATACTCTGTCATGTCCTCCCATATTGATGTGCTATACAGGAAAATAAAAAAGCTCACCAGTCCTTGCAAATCTACCCAGACATGCAATAAATAGAGAGGTTTTGCGGGGGGGGGGGGGMGGTCACTAAATTGGGACAATCTCCTTCATTCCCCAAATTTCTAGCATTGAGACAGTGAAAAATAATTTACACCTTGAATTCTTTACATTTGCTGTGTTTGCATTCTCCTAAGAATTCTACCTGCRTCCTTTTCTTCGGGAGCCTAAACTGTATTTCTAAACACTTAACTTACATTTTAAGTTACTACAATGCTAGAAGTTTGGGGGCTGAAGGAAAATTTCATAGGGGGAGTACACAAAATTTCAGTTTGGGGATTAACATTCTCACCTCTGCCCTCCACCATCATCTGGCCATGAACTCAACTAATGTTCCATCGTTTTTGGAGTCTATGTGGAAACATGGAAGACTTAAAGCTGTTCAGTTTTATGAGAGATGTTAAGCCATGGCTTTTGATATATCCCAGGACCTCAAATTTAAGTAGATTAATTTGAATATTATACAGCATATGGATTTTGTTATTAACTAAATAATGCATACGCCTTGACCCTACATTTACCTTTACTCCTCTTATCTCCTCAGTCATCCTATAAGAGACATTCTTACTCTGATTCTAAGAAAAAAATTATATGGACACGTTGGGCTTGGTCAGGTGGGAAGAACTGAAGGAGTACAAGAACTCTAATAGTGGCCACAGAATAAGACAATGCAGTAAAAAGTTTCTGGCCTTTGTTGTATTGAAGACTTGTTGAAATCTATGGTCATCAATTTTATTCTGGTTACATCTTTCAAGTGGACCTTCACATTATTGCTAGCCAATTGACTGAACTATTTTTATATAAGGGTTATTGATTGTATTATCATAGTTTCCAAAGACTTATTTATTATACAAAAAAGGTAAAGGTTTCCCGTGACATTAAGTCTAGTTGTGTCTAACTCTGGGGCGGTGGTGCTTATCTCTGTTTCGAAGACGACACCTCCAAGGTCATATAGTTGGCATGACTGCATGGAACGCCGTTACCTTCCCACCCAAGTGGCACCTATTGATCTATACATTTGCATGTTTTCGAACTGCTAGGTTGGCAGAATCTGGGGCTAACAGCAGGAGCTCATCCCACTCCCCGGATTCGAACTGCTGACCTTTCGGTCAGCAAGTTCAGCAGCTCATCGGTTTAACCCACTATGCCATACATACATACATTTCCAGGCTCTGCTTGTTTCCTTTTGATTGGTTCAGTGACTCCCATGGCCTATTTCTTGCAAACACTTCCATTGGAATGCACAAATAGGGCTTTTACTGAATGTGGCTTGCATTCAAAACAACTCTGATGGACACACTAGAAACATATGCTTCTAGTGAAGGCTAATCCCCACTAAGGTTACACATCATTACTTTTACTGATGAGCTGAATACAGAGATAAGAAAAGAAAGTTGTTGTGTCTGGGTTGAACTGACCTTTCGCAAGCAATATTTCTGCTTCCAAGGAAGGAAAGAATATTAGCGGAAAAATAAGACAAGTGTGCCTTATGGGCAAATGTGTTTCCTGTCTTATCTCTCTCATGCACACATGCACGCACACACCAAATGTCATGTCCTTCAGACTTTTACAGGCAGTTTAAAATTGAAACAAATTTGTGCAGCCAAAAAAATCATAATAATAATGTTCATTTTGCTTAGAGACTAATGTTTGCACAATTTCCAAAACTTTGTATTTCAGCTTTGTGGCAGGAGCCATGCGGCTTTTGGAAACTTGCTATTTAATATCATCTAATAATATATGCCATCTCCCAAAATACCCAAGATGTTACATCATACAGACATTTGATAATCTCAAAAATATAAAGTACAAGTTGCTTACATAGCATATTAGGAAGCAGAAATGATGATTATAAAGGAATATTATTCAAATATTGACCTATGCAAGGGACTCATGAATGCTGAGTACATGATACACCTACAACAAATTGTTTAGTTTAGTGGGTTGTTGTGGGTTTTTTGGACTATATCGCCATGTTCTAGAAGCATTCCATCCTGACGTTTTGCCTGCATCTATGGCAAGCATCCTGTTTAGTTTAGATTGCCAGAGCGAAAACTGAAGACATCTCCTGTACTTATATGGTTGTATAGGAGAAGAAATTTCAAGAGGTTTTGCTTACCAATCAACCATGTACCAAGAACTCCCTTCTGAAATTCTCAATTGTTATTGTGGTGTATCTTCAAGTTTTTCCCTGAATATGGCAACCCTAAAGTAAACCTATCATAGGGCTTTTCTTGTCAACCTTTCTACACTGAGGCCAAGAAAGTGTGACATGCCAAAATTCACCCAATGCGTTTCCATGGCTTTGAATCCTGGTCTCCAGAGTTAGAATCCAATATTCAAAGCAGTGTAACATACTGGCTCTCTAAACAAGCATTAAAGATAAATGTATTTATTTACTATATTTATACCCTGCCCATTCTCATCCCGAAGGGGACTCAGAGTGGCTTACAAACTGGCAACAATTCAATTCCGTATAAGCAAACATGTAAAAACAATAAGCATATACATTAAAAACCATAAAAGTTAAGAAAAAAACTATGCATTAAAAACCAATTACTAAAACAAATCCAAAGTCATAGTCCAGGAGCCATTCCAATCGTGTTGCACTTATTTCATATCCACTCACTGCACTGAATTTCTCTCCGAAGGCTTGGTGCCACAGCCAAGTTTTTAATTTCTTTCTAAAGGTCAGGAGGGAGGGAGCTGATCTGATAAAGGAGCTCTCCAGTTTTTACTCTGACAACCCTAATTTAATTCCATGTTGACAACACAGATACAAGACTAAATACATTGCATATGGCAGAAGGTTTTGTGGTCTAGTGGCCTGCAGTCCACGAAAACCTATGAGAGATAGAAATTGATATTCCTTCTCCCCATGAGGATTTGAACCCAAGACTCCCCAACACTCAACCCACCAATGATACCTAACATGAGCTAATCTTGGTAATTCTAGGGGGAAAGAAGATTCTGTTATAACAACGGAAAGACTTAACAAGACCATTTGACTGCCAAAGATGTGATTCAATGCAGCAACAGTGCCTTTTTATCGGTTTGTTTAGATTTTTCAAAGCATGGGAACTGAAAGAGAGAGAAAACATAGATATGCTGTAGTTAGTTCAAAATAATCTCTATGTTCTAACCTGGAGAAAAAGGAGTACCAGATGCTTCCAAATATTTATGGTTACTGAGCATTAGAGTGACCTTTATATCAGAATGACCTCTGATACCGTATTTCTTCATCTGTTTCCCTAGTTTGACCGGGTCATACTATGAAACTTTGATGTCATCTGCTTTTTCTGTGACAATGAATTATCAAAGCAAGATATCAAGCTTGTTTATGTGTAAACTTATCCTGACACTGAGCCAGATGGGACAGGAAGTTCCAGAATACACTCTG